CCTTCTTCATAGACAATTAGCTCATGATTGTGTTTACCATATGCATCGGATCTCCTGCCATCCTTCATCATCAAAAACTTTGTAACCCTTGATCAAAAACTTGCAACCGCAATATTGAGTTTTTGTGTTCTGGCGTGCGCAACACTCAGATCTTTATCTTTTCCTCTATCTCTAGCACCACAATTGCATCGCAAATATAAACATCCGTTATGGTTGTATGTATGCACAATTTGAAACTTGAGTGTTATTGCAATGTCTTTCGCTCATCGTGACAATTCTTGGTACGTTGGAAATAATTGGTCGGTCTGAAAGTGTGGGTAATAATTTACCCTATCGCCACCAAAATCTTCAATTGGTTCCTATTAAAAAAAATACAAAGTTAACAAATTTTATTTTATTTTATTTTGTTTTATTTTTTACATTTAAACTATTAAACACATGATATAACAAAAATTATAATTAAAATTAACTTCAAATAAAATTAAATTCATTAGAAAACAACAAATAAAATTAAAAAAAATCATCGAAAATTTACTAGTTAAATTAAATGTATTTTTTTTAAAAGTATTATTTAAAAAAAAAATTTAACGGTACACAACCGCATGTAATATGCAACTATACCATGGTATAGTCGCCTATAATATGCAACTGTACCTTGGTATAGTCGCATATTACATGCAGCTATACCATGGTATAGTCGCCTGTAATATGCAACTGTACATTGGTACAGTCGCATGTAATACGCAGCTATAGCATGGTGTAGTTGCATATTACATGCGGTCACGCCATGGTATAGTTGCGTATTACATGCGATCGGGTACATCGGAAATTGAAAAAAAAAAGGTTTGACATATACCTGACTCGACGGCGTCGAAGGTTCATCGTCCCCACCAAGTGCCTCTGATATGAACGTGGACCATTGTCGAGTCATTTTAGTGGGCGGAAAGTACAATGTCGGTGGTCAATCGTCGTGGAATCGGTCAAGATGGCTATCAAGGTGGAGTCGTGGTGGTGGGTGGTCAAGGTTAGTGGTGGTATGGGTGGTGGAGCTGATGGTCAAGTGGAGCCATGGCTTGAGTAAGGTCAAGTTGACAATAATGTTAAGGTGGTGGGACAAAGTTAGTAGTGGTTGAATTATTATGTCATTTTCAAAATTAAAAGGGGCATGAAAGTCATTTAATACCATAACTTGAGTAATTCCATTGTGACAAATAGCAATTCACAAAATGAAATCTGGTCATTTTTAAATTTTCGTACACGTTGGTCATTATTTATGTATAGTTCCCTGCTAACAACTTATTTCATCAAAAAAAATTTGCACCAATGCTGAAGCACACTAATACAATCTATCTAACTTTTGCACCAATACAATCTAGCAAAACTTGGTCTTGTGGTAACTGATAAGGTTTGTATTTATCAAATCTCACTAGAGGCACATTTGAGATGGGCTTCCCCCAATCTCAAATGGCCTATCCTACAAATTCAAATCTAGTGGACTTATGAGAGGTTCCGACTTAGTAGAACCCTTCTGCTTACCTACCCACCAAAAAAAAATCTATCATACTTTTGCTATAATAAATAAAAGGAACACTTTTTATTAAGAAGTTCGTCATTGATTCATTTTTTTTGGGGGGGAGGGGGGTGTGGCGGGGGGAGAGTAGCTAAAGATGGAAAATGACAATAACGTAATTCGATATTTTATTTCAATCGGGTCTGATCGATCTAAATTGAGTCTAATTGAGTTTGGACTGCTAGTTCGAGTTTAAGTCATGACACTTCATTGTGTCCATGCATCGAGTACTGAATCAAGTCATTTTCAGTTTAGATCGAATCTAATCGTGACTGGTGAGTTTTAAACACCCTTATTTCTGTCTGAGTTCTTAAAACTTGTACTAGTATTCTACTATCAATCTATCATTATTGTTTTAATTATTCTCCCTAAGAAGACTACAAGAGTAACAACCTCAAATAGGATGATAATTTGAGGACGGACGAAATAGCATATAGCATATTCATTATTCAATAACTTTTCATACTCCGTATGCTATAGAATTGTACACTAGATCATATAACATCAAAACGCATCAATTTAATTAGCTTATTTTAATATGAACGAAACTCTACTTAGCTAAAAAGGGTAAAAACTTACTTCTTTGACATTGTACTAGTACAGCTCTACCACAACGTACATCTCTAAAATAACAAAAAATTACATATTTTATATGGAGGATAAGTTAAATATTAATTAAAATTAGATGCTGATCAGTTGGTGCTAATAAATTAAGTTATCTTTAACTAATCCGTTAATGTAAATTATTTACACAATTAAACTAAAGACATAACAAGTCTACCATCACTTGATCCCATAAGACAACTATGTACAATTGTCCCCACCTTTTATGGAAAGAACATGCATTTATGTTTAATAATTAGCAATTCAATCTAATCCAAAACATAATCAAACGAACAATCCTAGAGCTACTATTAATCCTCATATGTTTTTCGCACAGTAATTCTTGTATCAGAAGGTCTAATTCAATTTTTTGCCATATGAATTTATTTGACATTTTTTTATTTTTTATTTTTTTATTGCTTTTTATATAACTAATTGACGGTGTAACAATCAGACCTGTCTTTCCTTAAAATTGATATCTTTAACTTTAAAAAATACCCTTTGAATATACGTATATCTTATCGTTCTTTTTTCTTAGTTTAAGTATCACCTGTAATTGTTTGTCACATTAAATGAATAGTTCGCCAATGAATACAATAAGCATATTCCTAATCAAAAATTCAAAACATCCCTCTATAACTTTTTTTATTAGTACATCCCTCTATAACTTTAACTCTGAATGATTACAACACCAAACAAACAAATGAAAGTGGACCTACCAAAAAAAAAGAGGTCATCGAGATTCCACACTCATCTAGCTAATCCCCTACCTTACACCCCCCACGTTAGCATTCTCTAATTAATTAAACCTTAACAACAATAATAATCCCAATAACATACATAATTAATTTTAATGGTGGCTTAATTGTAGCCTCCAAATCAATAACATCCACATATAAATTTCCCTTAATTTGAAGGGTGTAGACAATATAGTATCCTCAACTTTATATTTATGATTATGGACGGTGCATTATGTGGCCTTAAATGGGTTACCATAACATCATGCGCTCTATATTTATGACTTTACTATAATGTCTTTCACACAAAATTAAAAAGGTATAGATCATGTAGGGCACCCCCACAATCTAAATTTGCTATTGTATCGGTTTTACCTTTAAGTCATGAGTTTAATCCCTATTACCTACGGTTTTTGAACAAGAGGATTTTCCTACTTTCTATACTCTAAAACCTAATTTATACGAATAGGTTAACCTGTGAGAGATTCTAATTTAGCAAACGACCCAAAAAAAAAAAATCTACCGCTTAGGGTCACTGTATGTCTGGATGTTCCTCAGAGAACGGTTTGTCACATGCTAGAAAAAAAATCATTCATGAGATATAAGATGAATAAGATAAGCTACTTCGAGACATTTCCACCACTAAAGCAATTGGGTGACAGGTTGGAATTGCCAGGGAAAAGTTGTGATTGGTTCTTTCAAACAAGATTTGTATCTTTGATTCATATATTCTTCATCTTTAATCTTTATCCATACACCGCATATATACATATACACGACCATATATTAATGGCTTATATACATTAAACGGATTCATATTTGCATGGACCATACATGTGATGTGAGAGTCATACTCATACTGCCATATATGGATTACCTATCTATCTATATAGGGTGGCGGATTCAGAAAAAATGTATAATGACGGCTTATGAAATGTTTTGTCAAAGAAATTTAATAATCACTAAGGGTTCAAGTGACCCCATTCTATACTAGATCCATGCATGCATGTGATTATGAAAAATGTTTGCTACTAATATAATTGCCAAAGTTCGTTGGATCAATTATCGTTTTTCCATTGAATTTGAATTAATGAATACTTGAGTTCAAACATTAGCTTAAGAAGGCCATTTTCCAATAATATATAAACCCTTTAGTAAGAAGTTTATCTCTTGCAATATGAATTGTAGCAAACATAATCATAAAGTACTAAAAAGTAATCAAAAGTTATCATCATCATATGCAATAATTTGGTGTATTTTGCAATATAGTTTTGTCTTGTTTATCCAATAAAAAAATGGCTAGCTACTGCATATTACTATCATAAATCCTCGTTAACTTGTTTCACAAAGTTCTTCCACTTATTGTAAATCCACAAACCAGTTATCATAAATAAAGTAATATAAAGTGGAAAATTCTTTATTTATAGAACAAAGGGTATACATGATCATCATAGTAAATAATGTCAGATGTATATATAACAAGTAAATTTACATACAATTATGTTATGTACACCCATATCAATTTGCTAGTCATTTTACGTGTCATATATAAATTATTATTTTATCAAGTCATGAAAGTATATAGCAAACGAAATCAATACAAGTATCATAGTTATTTATTACAAAGTGTATCATAATCCTTAACCATGAGAGTCGAATGACTATTAAGTTCGTATCAAAGGTTTATATTTTGTCACATATCAAGCTCATGTTATAATTCCTAATTTTGTCAATTGTTTCTCCAAGTTTGTCTTTTTTGCTAAAATTGTGCAACAAAAGCTAAAATTTGGAGAATGGTTTTTTTTTTTTAGTTAACTCCTAATAATGAAGTGATAAATATGTTCAAGACTTCTTGGTACTTCTTCTAGGACTTTCTATATTTCCTAGTAGGAATCTTTTTTCTACACATTATTGAATTGGCATAAATGACCTTACATACAAGTATACCCAAAAAGAGGGACATTATTTTTATTTTTTTTAAAAGAAAAAAAAAATCACTCTCATGATAAAGGTATACAATAAAAAAAGAATAATAATAATTATTATGAGTATAATATTACACCATACTTTCTATATAAAGGAGTGATGTGGAAAGGCAATTACACAATCTTGAAATCCAATTTCTCATCTTCTCTCTTTATTTCTTTCTTTAGTTTAATTAAGCTAATTAAGAGTCATGGCAATTGCTTTTGGAAGATTTGATGATTCTTTCAGTTGGGCCTCTATTAAGGCTTACATTGCTGAGTTTATCTCTACTTTGCTCTTTGTTTTTGCTGGAGTTGGATCTTGCATTGCTTTCAGTTAGTACTCTTTCCATTAACTACTTGAATTTTGCTACATTTTGCTCATCTTAATCACATACTCCTATTATAGTAACACGTATTATGTAGCTAGCGCACAAAATAGTAGGCATGCCATTACTTCCCAATCATTGTGTTCTATTTTCTAGACAACATGACCTAAGTCTTATGTATCGTCTATCAAATACATCATTATCTTTCGTGACTCCATGTAGACTGAAAACAAAAATCGATTGATTCATAGAATTGAGTGACTATATTTATTAATCTTGACTTTGTATTTTGTTATTTCAGGCAAGTTGACAGAAGATGCAGCCCTAAGCCCAGCAGGGTTAGTAGCAGTAGCAGTGTGCCATGCATTTGCCCTATTTGTTGCAGTTGCAGTTGGTGCTAACATCTCTGGTGGACATGTCAACCCCGCCGTCACCTTCGGATTGGCCCTCGGTGGTCAGATCACCATCCTTACCGGTATCTTCTACTGGATTGCCCAGTGTGCTGGTTCCGTTGCTGCTTGTTTCCTCCTTAAGGCCTCCACTGGTGGCTTGGTTAGTACTTTTATCTCTTTGTCAATCATTATTTCTCGTCCTGAGTACTGCTACAGTATTAGATTCGTCTCAATATATACTAACTTTTAATATATACTCAATTAATGATTAAAGTTTTCTATTAACAAACGTGAAAAAAAAGATGTAAATTGTTACCGTCATTATGAAACAGAGGTAATATATTGAAAACTGTGCCGACCAATGTGACAATATGATCTTGTTTTTGAAATCTGTGCTAACTAAGAATAGAAATATGGTTTATATGATGAGATACAGATTAATTTTTACATATTATAACATGGAAAGTTAACTAATAAATTGTTATTTTGTTCCTGCAGACAACTCCAATCCACAGTGTAGCAGCAGGAGTAGGATCAATTGAAGCAGTAGTAATGGAAATTATTATAACATTTGCATTGGTATACACTGTCTATGCAACAGCAGTTGACCCTAAGAAGGGTTCCATTGGTACCATTGCACCTATTGCTATTGGATTCATTGTTGGTGCCAATATCCTCGCCGCCGGTCCATTCTCTGGTGGATCAATGAACCCGGCTCGCTCTTTCGGTCCCGCTGTCGCCAGTGTTGACTTCCAGGACCACTGGGTCTACTGGGTTGGACCCCTTGTTGGTGGTGGTTTGGCTGGTCTTATCTATGGTAATGTGTTCATGGGTGAGGAACATGCCCCTCTTACCAATGAATACTAAGTTTGAGTTTTTCTTTTAAATAATTTATTTGTGTGTTTTTTTTGGAATTAATCCAATTTGTTATTGGGATATTAAGGGTGGAAATTGCAAGAATTTGTTTGCTGTAATTGCCTTGTTTATTCCCATTTTTTAAAATCTTGATTTGGTAGTTTGTTTGGTTTGTTCTTGTAAATCCGATGTTCTAATCAATTCAAGTTTTGCATTTTGCGGAATATAAATCTTCTTTTATTTTTTATTTATCTTTGTTTTTCATGTTGCAATCCAAAATATTGCAAATCAATATTAAAAATCCATTGAATGCAAGATCTTGAATTCATATGAAGTAAATATGTACAAAGGTTACATACACAAAACGTAAATTTTAACCACTGGGCCAAGACCTCATTGATGTATAAGATGACCAAAGAAGTAACAGTTCAAGATCATCAAGGAGTATTTTCAAGTATAAAAAAAGGTTTAAATTTTGTAAAAATAAAATTTTGAGAAGCACTAATATCAGTTCTAATACATATGGATCGGAGTACACTACTCACTTCAGTTTATCACACAACCAATAATCACCTAAACCTATCGCAGTAATGACAATAATGCAATATGCTTTGGCATGTGGAATGGGCTAGAGAAATATGTTTTTGGTTAAATCGTTAAGCTAATCCAAGGGTGTATCACCAGTTTGCACATACCAGTGTAAGCTGTGTAACACTATACTTTGGCTCTACTAGTCATCATAAGCTCACAACTCATGATCACATATTAGGTCATGCAAGCTCATGTGTTGTGCCAGTGGAGCTCATCATGTTCAAGTGGGTTGTGCTTGGAATGAGCCAAGAAAACATGTGTTGTATCAAGCTTGTAATGATCTTTATTAAAGAGAGTTCATGTAGTCATGTACAACCTAGCTAACGTGTCGTGCAAGCTAGCCCCAATGCAAGCTAGTTTGTCGTTCTCATCTAGCTTGTGTAAATTTTAAAAATGATGTTCATGCACGGCCCAAATATATCAGTGTGTCTTTTGAACTTGCTAGTTGGGCCATTTTGATGTTGTGTCTGATCAACTCTTGTTTTAGCCTAACCCATGCTAAACTCTTGGCTACTCATGTAAAAAAGAACACTAGCATCCATGAACATTTCAAGACCAATTGTAAAACTTAGTTTGAGTATTATTCTTTAACTTGCTTAAATCTTGAGGTATGTAATTACTTGTAATAACCACTATTACCGAAGTTACGGTATTATTATTTGGTATGAAAATTGGCTAACAGTGTGATTGGATTGAAGAAAATGGAGGGAAAGGAAGGGAAGGGAAATAGAGAGATGGAGTATCTTTCATTTGGATAACAAGTGAGAAAGGAAGGGAATTAGAGAGGAGAGAAATTAAGGGATTAATTTATAGGAAATTGACCCTCCAACAATGGAGAGATTTGGAAGGAAAACTCACCATTCTTCCCTCCCGTCCTGTTCTCCTCCCTCCCCTTCTTTTCCTTCCGCTTTCTTTATCCAAACATACTCTAAGGGAACACAATGTCACAATCTGCTGCCTAATTATGTTAAACTAGTCCAAAAATGTATCACTAATTCACTATATTATTAACTCTTGGCACAAAACTCACAAGCTACTCATGTTAAAAGTGAAAACTCCAATTTATGAAGAGTAAAGGACTAAAACTTTATTTGAATTTCATTCGTATTTTAAATTTATATCGATAATATACAAAATCTTTGAAAGTATGTAACTAACTATCAAGAAACACTAGGGAAATCTTTCTCATAATTCCATTCATGTGCTTTCCATTCTGGTAGTTGCTGGATGACAACCTGCATATACAAATCATATGAAAACATTAAGATAATATTGTTATTATATCAAAATTAATGTTGTAATGATATAATTAATCGAGGTTAATTCATTAAGAAGAAGGTTCTACTGACCATTCCTCTTGAATCTGGTGTACCAACTGTAGTTTGACAAGCAAGTCTCCAATTCTTTGGTTTCTGCTCAAATTTAATTAATTTCCCATTAAACATACTTATAATAAGTTCACATAAATGTAAGTTTGTAGAAGTTTGTAACAGGGGAGTGTAATATTGATATATATTACCTTTTTAAGATGTTCTTTCTCTTTTTCAGTTCTGGGGTTTAGAAGCTCCTTGCCTTCAATCACCTAATCAAATAACCAAGTTCTTGATCAAATTAGTATCGCATTCATCCTAATTTAATTATTACTTCGCATTTGATTAGAGTTGAAGTTATAATAATGGTTAGGGGATCATATCCTAGCGAAATTTGATAATTATATTCATATGTGTGAGATCGATCACCTCCACCATGCAGGATCCACATGTTCCACCACCCGCGCAGTTTAATAGTGGTCTTGCCTGAAAAATTCAAATTCGACAAAATATAAAGCAACGTTAATTTCATTTCATTAGTTTCATATAAGCAATGTACTTCATTAAATTAACAATTGATGAAGCGAAGCGCTTAATTAAGAGCTTACATATGGTCCATAAAGGTCAATATCATTATCCAACATTATATCCCTTAGCTTTTGTCCACCCGTTGCTGATCGCAAATGTAAATCGGGCGTTCCATCCGGGAGTAATACTGACTGATTAATCAGAAACCCAAAAATCGGATTAAGAAAACAGAGAACAGAGAAATTAAGAAAATAATTTATATTGTACAACTTATCATACAATTACTCTTAATGCATGTCTTAATAAGGTTCCCGTCTACAAAGGTGCACAACTTTACTACACTAGTAACAACAATAATAGAGTGACAAATGGGACGAGTTTTGTGGATACCTCCCCCTAGGTACGGGTTGGTGTTAACATGGAGAAAAAATCATACCTATACAGGGTGGTGAGGCGGGTATGAATTTTAAATGTTACCATCTCACGCAATTTTTTTTTCTCTCTTGCAAATTACATAAAACATGCTAACAAAAAAAAAAATAAAGAAATTATGTTTGAGATGTACTTACACTGACAAATGCAAACCCAACATAAGGCTGTTCGAGTTCTTCCTCTGATTGATCACTTGTTTCATTAGCTTGATCTTTCTCCGGAACAATTCCAATAGCTCTAATTTGCCTTCTATTATTGTTATTAAAGCTAGTTAGATTTTTGGTACTAATTGTTCTAATAGTGTATTTTGTTGTAATGTAGTGTTTAAAGTTGTTAGAAGATAAGAAACTTGAAGATAAACTGTAAGGAGTGTTCAAGTAAAGAGCAGTACTGCCCATCATTATTTTTGATATGTCATAAATTAAAGTGGAATAGTTTTTCTTGCTTTTTAGTTTTGTTTTTGTGGGTCAAAAATATAGTGAGTATATCTATTTAAACGGTTATAGTTTTGTTTATAACATGGTTGATGTGTGGTTCATATGTATCTTATCTTTGGTTTTGTGATAATAGGTAAAGAATCTCATGATATGGTTGCTTGATGGCAATCATAGCTTTGCCTCCGAGGTTTAGGACTTAAAAGCTAGTATAAAGTTGGAGGATCGAGCAATAGTTCATGTGTTGTGGAGCAATTAGATAATACTTAGGCTATGTTTTTTTTACCTTATTTTTGCTGAACTTAAATTATTTTTATTAAATTGAATTTAGTTTAACGCTTTGTTTGGATAGTAATTAATTAAGGAAAGAAAGGAAAAGAAGGAAAGAAGAGGAAGGGAAGGGAAAAGAAAGGGAGGGGGAGGTGAGCTCAATTCTCCCTTCAAATCTCTCCAATTTTGGAGTGATTGTGCTTATATTAAAGAGAGAGGGAAAATGGACCTCTCCCTCTCCTTTCCCTTCCTTCTCCTAATCCTTTACCTAAATAAGAGAGTTTGTTCCCCTCTTTTTCTCTTCCCTTCTTTTCCTTTCATTTCCTTTTATCCAAATAGTGTAGCTGATTCTCTATTGTAAACTGAAATAATTAATTTTACTGAACTTTAAGTTATTTTTACCGAATATTTTTTTATGGTTAAGAGAACAGGGCCTTACTTCGTTTCCTGATTATGCTCTTGGCTTGATTTTACACATTTGTCAATAGTCTCAATACATATATTTCATCATTAACTAATGAGAAAATCAAAGTTTATATCTGAGATAAACCTGTAAACATATTTTCCCTCACAATGTAATTTTTATATTTTTTTAAATTATAAATTTTTTAATAAAGTGGCATGGGAACAAATGTATAAAATTGTGAGAGGAGATAAATTGGGATGTTAATATCAGAGATTAACTTGAGCTTCCTCCTAACTAATAACTAAAGGTTGAAATAATAACTTTTTCTCCCTTTTTATCTCTTCTCTCTCCTCTTTTAGGATTTTAGTTTTCTTGATGGCCATTTAGGTCGAAGAAATTGAACTATTTCCTAATTTCCAACCCTTTTACTTTTAAATTCAATTCTTTTTTTCTTCTTTTTTTTTTATTTATTTTTGCTTTGTTCTCTCCATCTATGAGCTAAGAGTCTTTTTTCAATTTTCTGAGTTTTTCCCAACATTTTGGGTTGTTGATCATCATCTATGAATGAGAATTATATTTTCAAAGTTTTAATAATTGGGAAGGTGATCAGAATTCATATGGGTTTAAGTCTTGTCATCTTTGTACACAATTTAGGTGCTTATCTACACTCAATTGCTTATATATTTAGAGGTCTAAGGTGTATATTTACATTATCTGCTTAATTAGGTTATGCTCTACTACTCTCCATTTGTGTGTTTTGATGAATTTCAGGTGATTTAGATGCAAATGGATTGTGGTTTGATAATCTTGAGTATAATATTATGGAGTATGAAGCTATCTCGCTCAAGGATCTCAACTTATATCCATGTCTTTGAGGCAAAAATGAGCTAGAATGAAGCAAAGTGCCAATGAAAGACTTGACGAATATGAGTCTCGTCCACTATTTTGCTCATAACTTTTGATGTAAAAATGATAATAGTGATTCAAATTGCATTGGAAAGTAGACTTCAAGATCTTTCCTATGATATATTACGCGCCTCAAACAAAGCTCTGGATCTCAAGTTATGACCGTTTTAAGATAAGCTACGCGCGCAGTCCACGCTCTAGCGAGTGAATTGAGGCACGTCCGTGCCTAGAAGATTCTTGGACGATTTAGCCCAGATTAGTTTTCTAATTCTATCTAAACTAGGGCTGAGCACAATTATCCGAAAAATAAAAACCCGAAAATTCGAATTGTAACCGATCCGAAAATTAGGGTACCCGATCCGATAACCATAACGGTTCAGGTACTCGATCCGATAAATTCTTATCGGGTACGGTTATTGGATATCATTTTAAAATTAACGATTACCCAATCCAATCCGATCTGATAATCAAGTTTTTCTTTTTTTTTCCTACTTAAATTTATTTATCCAAAATCTGAACTCTTACTTTACTTCATAATCACTCCATAATTTGAATGATTAGTGATATTATTAGGAATTTGGTCAAGATCATGTGGTATTGTTGTTAATTAGTGTTGAATGATATCTTAATAATTAAATTATAAAGTCTATATTTTCATTATTGGATATCATATTGGGTATCCAATAAGCGATCCAAAAATCTGGGTACCCGAACTTATCGGTTCGGTTCATGGATATCATTTTTAGTGTTATTGGTTATCGATTGCCCGAACCGATAGTGTTAACGGTACAGGTGCTCAACCCATGCTCACCCCTAATTTAAACTTCTAGCTTTATTATAAATACTCTATAGCTTTATTATTTCAGAACCCCATTACCCATTACTTTAGAACCCTAGTTTTCTCTCTAGTTTTATTTTATTTAATTCAAGTATTATTTTTTCTTATTCTCTTTCTTTTATGTTTATTTCAATCTTTTATTATGCTAGAGCAGATTCTTATCTAGGATTAGGTTGAACCCTAGCCATAATTGATACTTGATTTATTCTTTTAAATTCCCAATTAATGTTTATGTGTTCATGCTTAATTGATTGTGCTTATGCCAACACTAGATTAGGGATAATTGGTATTTTAATTATTCTATTGTCTTGATTGCAACCAGAGTTGAGTTTTGACGAATTTAATTATTTCAATTAAGGATATGAAAGTAGGTAGAATGGATTGTTAGGAAGTTAGGGTGTCGGACTTAATGTCTTTAATTTGCATGATTCCATGGAAGTAGGTTTGATTGTTAATTAGGGAAGTCATTGACAACTCGGGAGAGGTTTTTGGTATTTTATAGGGCATACCTTTCCTTGTGAACATATAATTAATTGGTTGGAGTAGGAATTTGTCTTGTAGTGAGTATGCTAGTGGTGATACTTAATTCTAGATGTTTATATTATTATTTGATTCGTATTTGATATTTGAGTAGTCGTAGTTATTTAATTCATCATTTTATCTCTTATTTAGTTTTGTCATTGGTAAAACTTGATTGTTAAACAATCTTCTCTATGTGGGATCAACCCTGACTTACCTTAGTACAGAATTTAGGAGGATTAGTTAGGTATGTATTATTTTTATTAGGTGCGACATGACTATCATCAACTCTACAATCAGAACATTAGCGCAGATTGTGAAGACTAGGCCTCTATTTGAAAGATATGACTATATCAAAAATCATTGCTCGCGTCAAGCTAATATGTAAAAAAATTATGATTTTAATTGTAAAAATTATGTATAGTTCTCTAAATATGTGGTTTAAATTACAGATATATACTATTATTGCAGATGTCGTATGACTAATTAATAATGAAATTGTTCTTCCTCATAAAAAAATAAAAAATAAATAAATAAAAAAGGGATAAGGTTGAAATAAATGTCAAAAGAGGTAAAAATAATCATTTTCAAGTGTCCTAAAATGCTTGATTTATGTCCATAAGTGTTCGCTATTTTTCTAAATATATAAAAGGTAACTTAAAGAATCAAATGAATACAATTACGTGCACAATCACATTGAAAAAAAATTAATATTTATGAATCGGTAAAAATTAGAAAGAAAAAAAAATTATGAAAAGATACATTATTTTTATTTTTATTTTTTTTGAACAAAAAATATACATTAACTTAAGTTACTACGAGTAAATTTTTAATAATAATATCCAATTTTTGTTTATTTGTAAGTATAGTAAATTTTTTTACTTTTATATGAATAGTCTAAAATTTAATTTTGGTTAGAATTTTAAACTATCAAATATAGTACTCCATCCGTTTCGAAAAATTCTTCCCATTTTGATTGTGTGTGTTTTCCAATATAAGACTTTGACCATAAATATATTAGCTGCACATTAGTTAAAAAAATATTTGATAATTAAATCTTGATGAACTACTCGTACACATTAAGACGAATCAAAAAGACCCAACTTGGTTATGTTATGTTGTATATATAAAGAGTAAGTATGAAGAATCTATCATCTTATGAATTTTGTCAAGATTCCAAATGGGAAGACAAAAAGGAAAGGAGGGAGTACATTACTGAATATACGTGAGAGATATACAATAAATATTAGGACTTATTTGCATTGACAAATCTGGCAGCGGTTTCTTTAACCATTAGGTTAGAGTTTAGGGTTTTAGGGAGGCGGGGATAAGATAGAAGGCTAGGCTTTCAAGAGGCTTCAACACTGTAAATACTTCTAAAATATATTTGTGTGTCTACCACTTCAACATAGTCACCAGCAACCTCCTCCTTCCCTTCCTAACAAACTTTATTTTCTAAATTCCCTCCCTTCATAGCAAATTATTTTTATTTGTATTTTGCTATTAACAAAACTACATTTCATCAAGTCATGCATCTAGCTCTTGTACCATCTCTCACAGATAAATCTCATCATATATATCCAATTCACTTCTTAGGTACATATGCTACAATGTGCATTTATATGCGCCTTGATTCAAGAAAAGATCAATCTTATGGAAGAAAATCAAAATTAAGGCTAAAGCTTCATAGCCTAACGATCAAATCAGTAAATTACCTGAATGTAAGTTTAATCTTGATTTTCTCTTAAAATGTAAACATTGATTATCGAATTTTTTACTTTATGCTCATATATCAAAATAATCTGGACATTCTCATAATTTTCCCAAAAATAAAATTTATTTTTTAAAAAAAATAACTAAATTTGACGTTTATAGATTTTTAAAAATATCTTAGTTTTAGATTTATTGATAAAATTGTTTTGTTGTTTCTTTTCCAAAAAGTAGCAAATTCGCCCAAGAATAAAGGGAGGGAATTGAACTTAGAAATAGACAAGCCTAAATCTAGCCGGAAGTGTGTGATCTAATAATGGTAATAATCTTATGATATCTAAAATTTCATATGGAAAAAAAATGTGATGCTTGTTCAATTTGACATTTTTTTGTATAGCCAGTTTTTCAAAGTTTATCATCAAGTTTTCAAATTGGATAATCGGATTTTCAGATAAGGTCATAATTTTTGAAAAAAATCCGAACAACGTTTGAATTGAAAATCAGAATTTCTTAATTCAAATGTTCATTTGCAAATGTAAAATTGAATAGCCAATATTTTAATTAGGTCAAATCACCCGAATTTTCTAATCGAATCGGATACTTTGGCACAACATTATTTCTGATGATTATATTTGCGAGGTTAAGAACGATGATTATTTTATATGAAAAAAAGTTGGCCTATACATGTCCTTCCTCCGTATCCGATTGATAATTTTGTTAGTTTATGAATGTTGATAATTTTGTGAAAAATTTGGCCATATGATCCTTATATTAAGATCTTTATCTAACACTACTCTTTCTTATGCAATTGTCAGGTTCCTAGAATATTGTTGAGTCAAATAGTGTTCTTTACCAACAAGGTCAAATTGCCTATCTTGTTTTAAAGTATTAAGGGGTTGCCCCTCTTGTTACTGGTTTCAAAAGATTGATAACCTTGCTAATGTAACAAAACACACTAGTGGAAAAAACACTATTAGCAACTGGCAAAAAGTGACTTTTAGCAACTGACATGTGGGGCTGCTATTACGATAAGTATGATGGGGATTTTAAGGACGCCCTCGAATCTCCAGCTAATGCCCGCATTTATAATCTGAAATTACGTTCTTACCCTTGTTATAAAAAAATTTAAGTTTACCTCAACTTACCACCTTCACCGTCCACAAAAATTTGATAATAAAATAATAATAGCAACAAAATTAACACAATAAGAACAACTATAATAATAATAATAATAATAATAATAATAATAATAATAATAATAATAATAATAATAATAACAACAACAACAACAATGAGCAAGCCTCAGTTTCTCAATTGAGATACTAAGTTTGTTTTTCAAATGGCATTTTTGCAATTATTTAAACATTGTAGCAGGCCTCTTTGGTGATTGTGTGAGAAGATAGCATGTGATGAGATGACAGAAGTTTTTCCTTCGTTATCTCCGTAGTCTTCATCCTTCCATCTTCCTTCCTTATTCCTTTCTCATCAACAATGTGGATTCATCCCCAAATCCCGACCCCAACACATCGATTCCGGCGGCTTCGCCGCCATATATAACGAAAAATCCTAAAAAAAAATATGTAAATTAAGGGCATGGTTAACCCTAAATGGTAGGTATTTGTCGTTATTTGTGAGTGATTTCTTCATTGTCGTAGAAAATTTCGACCTTTATTAGTGAAGGATTCTCAAACTTCATTGTTGAGGAGAGATGGGTATGTTATTTGTGGGTTAACGCTGTTAAGCTTCCGTTAGTCTCAAAAGACGAAAATACCCAATTGAGAAACATACCATGAGAAACTTCTATTTTCTCAATAACAATACCAACAACACCAACAATAATAACAAAAACAATAAAAACAACTCTCCTTCTCACTTTTATCCGTTGAACCTCCTACTCTGAACTCTTCATTAAAATTAGCTTATGGACTTTCTCCTCCATTGAAACATCCTTCATTTCAAACAATTTATGGATTCTCTAACACAACCTAAGTGTAATATTGGTAATACACACAACACATTGCAAATCCTAAAATCGAACACACAATCAGTCCAATACACTAATCCCAAATTTTAACATAGTACTGTATATGATTGATATTTGCAAAAAACTTAAACTGCAGATTATTTTCGCATACTATACAAAAAATGTAATTATAAAGAAATCCTTAAGCACAACAAAATTAACAAATAATTAAATTGGGATTAGAATAATCAATTCTTCACGAGGCATAAATGGGTAGCAAAAATCAACATGTTTAGGGAAGGAATGTAGTCGGGAAACGCCTCAAAATGTCGTAACCCGCGGGTGGAAACGCCTAAATTTTTCGTTTTCACTTGTAGCGTTTTGTTGGAATCGCCTAAAGATTTCATAACCCGTAGGTGGGAACGAAAAATTCCGGCCTTTCCACCTATGGGTTACGCAATATTTGGGCGTTTTCTTTAATTTTTTTTTTTAAAAAAAAAAAAAAAAAAGTTGCTACTGGTTGTGGTGGCCTGGTGGTGTTTGTGGTGGTGATGGCGGTGGTACTAGTGGTTGGTGGGGGAGATGGTGTTGCTTCAATGGTGAGAAAGCTCCAAAGCTGTTGCAGTGGAGGAGAAAGTTGTTTAGCCACTTTCATGGAAATTTAAGAGTAGGTGGCTCCATGGATGATGTGAGAAGGAGAGGGGCATAATAGTCCGTTCAAGACAAAATATGGGCGTTAGTATGTAAAATGAGGGCGACGTTTAACATAACCCCTAATTAATTTTTTTTATTATTTTTTAACAAATTAGTTTTGGGAATGTGTATACGAAATCATAAAGTACTCCATCCTTTTTTTTTAGTTGATACATTTTGACTTTATCACTATTAACACACATCTCTTTGACCATGTTTTGTGATTTATACCTAATGAAAAATATAGTCATGTGAGTCTTGTTAGATATGTCATGATATATATCTTTAAAAAATCATTTTTTTTATAAGTTTTGCTTATCGTTAATTAAAAATATTAATGATTGAATTTGTACATTGGCAAACGTGACTAAAGACGCGTGTCAACTAAAAAAAATGCTTGTTTGTTTTCACTCTCAAAAGCAAAAGTGAAAAAGTAATATGAAATTAAGTCCCATCAATTTTGCACAAAATTTTTACTAGTGTATTTTTTTTTTTATTAAAATACCAAAAGGTAAATGTTAAGTGTATTATGTAATATAAAATGTTGTTTGATTAGTGTCATTGTATTTAATCAAAATATTGAGGGAGCGTTTGGTTGGGGATATTCCTTAAAAGGCGAGAAAATCAATTGCCTTTATTCCCGTTGATATTGTTTGTTAGCCCCTTTTTTAATTTTTAGTTCCTTTATTGTTGTACCTTCTCCATTCCCCCAAACTCTTCTAAATTGATTCACCACCATACTAGGTGTGCCAATTTTCTATCCTTAGCCACCACCCTACTCCCCCTCCTACCCAAGCACCTAGCTACCTTACCCCAACCACTAGAACACCTAGCCACCCCATCGCCTCCCTTTGTCGCGCTTCCCCCACACTTGCTGCCTCTCCCTTTCCCCTGAACCACCGGAAAAGCTACCCTTCCCCCCCCACCCCCCAAACCCTATAATCCTCCTCCCCCTCCCTGCGAAAATGCCACCCGCCCCTCCCCACACCCTCGAAACCGTAGCCACTAATTTGAGTTATCGAGTAAGTTCAAGGCTTTCAATAATGACAAGTATAGTTTCCATTTTAAAAATGGTTAACCTAACTAATGGACTAATATTTACTAAGGAATTTGTTATATACACCGGGTGCACTGTACACCCAACTAATCCAAGGTTAGTTTTTGCTCTTCATTTGATGATTAAATGAAAAACAATCATCATCAAAATGAGAACAAAATACTCATGGGTGTACGGCGCACCCGGGTATATATAATAATCTCTTCATTTACTACTTTCTCTGTTTCTTTTCTATGTTATGATTTTGACTTTAGAGGTCATTCAAAAACATGACTATAAAAATCTACTATATACATATATATATGAAAAATTCATGGGAATAATCCCACCTTTGGGCCGTTCATTTATAATAATCCCACCTTTGGGCCGTTCGTTTATAATAATCCCACCTTTGGATTATTTTTTACTAATCCCACCTTTACCCCCGATCTTTTTTAATGGTCCCATTTTACCAGAAACCGGTTGAGTAGGTAATTTTTTTTTTTAAAAAAAAGATTAATTTACACGTGTCACAATTTGATTTGTCCAAAATTAAAAAAAAACCCCTACCCTGAACCCACCCATCGGATCTTCCCCTACCACCCCTGCTGCTCCTCCTCCTCCCATCACCCCACCCCTGTCGTTCCTCCCCCTCCCCTCACCCTTGTCGCCGCCGCTCCTCCTCCCTTGCCTCACCCTTGTCGCTGTCGCTTCTCCTCCCCCCACCCCTCACCTTAGCCGCCTTTACCCTCGCAACAACCACCCCCAAACTCGCCTCGAGTTCCCTGAAACCCATTCCTAAAACCCACTTCAATTCCTAAACGTCCCACACAATCAAAGTCACAAATCCGCATAACAATAACAATGTGGGGGGTGTTGGGTTTTGAGATGGGTATTGTTGGGTTTCGAGGTGGGTATTTGGTAGTTTGGGTGGGGATTCGAGGTGTGTAGTGGTTTTCGGGAGGGAATCTGTAGAATAGAGTTTCAAGGTGAGGTGGTTTAGGTGGGTTTTGGGACTTCTGCGTGGATTAGGGTTGGTCGTGGTCGGCGTTTAGGGAGGGGAAGAGAGTTCGGTTTTCGGCGCTCAGGGAGGGGAATAAAGGGGTCAGTGACGAAGGGATCGGAAGGTGTTTTGTGTGGTGGGTGTCAGGGGATAGGGTGGTTTTCGGGAGGGAATCTTCCCCTTTTTTTAGTTATTTTTTTTAGACCAATCACAGGCCGCCATGTGTCATGTAACCTATTATAACAGGTTACATGACCGATTGGGACCACTAAAAAAGATCGAGGGGTAAAGGTGGGATTATTAAAAAATAATCCAAAGGTGGGATTATTAAAAACGAACGGCCCAAAGGTGGGATTATTCCCATGAATTTTCATATATATATATATATATATATATATATATATATATATAAAGGGGAGTTTTTTTTCCAAGATTTTAGAGAGCCACGTAGGATTTTAATTTTTTAAAAATTAATAAAGCGCCATGTAGGATTAGTCTTTGTAGAGCATTACGTATAGGATTATGCCGCGTAGGATTATTATTTTAAAGCGCCACGTAGGATTAAAATTAAAGGTTTAAATTTATTATAAAAATAAAATATTATCTTTTAAAATTGAAAATTTTATCTAAGAGAAAATAAACAATTTAATTTATTTTTTATTATACAAAAATACTATTAAACTTTACAAAAATGAAATTCACGTTTAATTGATTTTTTTTTAAAATTTGGATTAAATAATGAAATAATGAAATATGAGAAGTGATAATAATAATTTTTTTAAAAAAAAACTACCGATAAAAAATATCAGTTTTGAATTAGATACAAAAAATAAGAAAAAATCATTGAAACTAAAAATATATCCTTTCTCTTTTTTCAGCAAAAAAAATATTCATCATTTATCATTTATTCGGCTAAAAGATTAAGTTCTATGTTAATAAAACTTATCATATATAATAAACTTTATCACCACTTTAAATCCAATATTTTTCAATCCTATAAAAATCATCTAATGTTCCACATAAACAAACGTAAAACTTTTGCAGGTAATGAAACATATTTTAGAATTTGAACACCATGAATTTCTTGAATGCGATGAACAGTGATCATAATTAAAAAGTCAGTCATAACTCATAAGTATTAATTTTGCAAGGATGTTAATTTTGCAATTCAAGGGGGCGGGTTTAATTACGCAACTTATCAACTGGCATGATTAACGATTGATTTACAAAGGATGATGGAAGCTTGGAAGATTTAAAATTTGTTTGTATATGTGTGAACCTTAATTGTATAAGATTAAAAAAAATAGTAATATTATGTATTAATATTTTGTTATTTTGATTATATATTAATACATCGCATGGGTTTAAATCTAGTATACTACTAGTATTATAAAGATTAAAAGCATATCATCATGTGGGATGTTAATTGTTGGATTCATCTTATAATAAATTATCAAATATCATTTTTGTATAGAATTTTTATTCAAATTATATCGAAGATATTCGTGGTCAAAGATGTGCATTTGAGACCATAAAAGTCAAAGTGGACCATTGAAAGAGAACAAATTATTTACCTTTAAGTTTCATGTTTGTAAGACATAAACTTTTACTTATATATAGGTCAAGTAATGGTGTAGTAAAGTTCATTTCATTAATACACATCTTATTTTTTTCCTATGTGACTGTGTTCGTTCTCATTTTTGTAATACCTTGTATAATTAAGGACATAACACATAATATGTTTATTTACCTTTACTTTTGTAATTTTAAGACTCAAACTCAATAATGAGAGTCAAGTGAATGACTTTTGGAACTCATTAGAACATTATAGGTTTAATTTTGCTGTATATACACTCATTCCCATCTTTGTGTTAGGTTGATAAATTAATAAAATATCATCTTATTTTACCACAAGTCATAACTATCCGCTCAAAGTGAGAGTACGGTTCGAAATCTGCAATGATGTATCATGTATGGGTCCCGTCAACCAAGAAGACCATGAAATTGGGGTTTAAGCAATAGAACATTTCTTGTAATCCTTAAACCCTTGTTTTTGGGTAGAAGAACTACCCAATAAAATACAAATACAATGTCCCAAATCACAACTCTCCGCCTCCTAATTAACCATTCTCCTCCAATTTTCTCACCTCTTTTCTTCAAACCCAGAAATCTTCATCTTCCAATCAGGCGTTTCTCTCTCCTCACTACCTTTTCTTCATTACCCAAGAAGCAAACAAATTTGCAATCTTCTCCTGCAAAACCCCTCAAGTACAAGAGCAGATATAAGAGTTCTTTGGCTGAGAAAAAGAAGGGAGAAGAAGGTGCAAAAATGGCGGAAACTGAGTCTTCTGGGTTTAATAAGAGGAGGGCAATGGGCAAAGATAAAGATGATAAGCCCAAGAATCTTCAACTCAAAGTTAGAAAACTTAATCCTGTTAATACTATCTGCTATGTTCAGGTATGAATTGTATTGGATTTTTTTAAATTATTAATTGTTGTTGATTTTGGGCATTTTCAATAATGGAAATTGAAATTTTCAATTGTTCATCATTTGGGTATTTGAGGGTTTTTTGTGTTTTTGGTTAGGGTTGTTTATTGTAGTTATTGAAACTTGATATAGGGTTTATGGGATGTGATATTATGACAATGTTCAGGATATAATGGTTTTGGGTTGATAAATTCGGTATGATTGATAAAATTATGTTGGAAAGATTGGTTGGTTTTGAATGAATTAATTGGATTGTCAAAGGTTTATCAAATTGATTTTAGGTGATGCTGAAAGATACTGCATTGCAAAATGAAATGTTATTTAATTTAAGGTTGGTTTGATACTGCAAATTGTGTAATGCCGGGTTTGTGAATTACAGATTCTGGGTACTGGAATGGATACTCAAGATACATCTCCTTCAGTCTTGCTTTTCTTTGACAAGCAAAGGTTTATCTTTAATGCCGGAGAGGTAACAATGGGATTATTCTAGACTTGCACTCTCATGTTTATCAGTTGGAAAGGATTCTATTGAACTGCACTCACTGCAAATCCATGGATTTCAATACCTTTTATTGTCTTATAGCTAATCAGCCACGCTTCACCTATTTTGTCATGTAATACAATTATTTGCATTCTGTTGCAATGATAGTGTTAACTGATAACAAATAGTTTGAAGATACATACCAAAACAAAACATGTTTTAGTTTACCATATCCTTTGGGTGCATGGTTCTTGCCTTCTTGGTCTATATTAGTTACCCATCTTGTGGTATAATTCAAGATTAATAATTCAGTGCTTACTTTCACATCTTGGTCAGAAGTGTTTATATGAAAATACATACAATTATTTTAATTTCAATGTAGTATGTAGATCGTTGGTTGTGAAGATGCCAGGGTTCCCTTTGTATTTCAATAAGATATGTATTTTCTTGTTGCATCTTTTCTTTCAAGATAGTGCTCTCAAGGTGAACAATTTGTTGTGACCAAATATGCAGATGGATTTGGATCATTTACAGAAACTCCCATAATTACACACTATGGTTCTAAATGGCTTTCTTAAGTCCAAAAGATTCGTGTTTATAATTACAATGTAGATGCCATTCAACACATATGCAGGATTGCCGAAAACCTTTGCTGTAGGAAATCTTATCTGTGAAAGAGATGGCTGAAAATTGAATTTTTGGTTGGTGTGCATAAAGTTATTCCTGTATTATTTGTCAGTTGATCATAAAATGGAACCCAGAAACTTTTCTGTTCCAAATATCTATCCAATATCTGATTCTAGCTCTTAAATTCCTCGAGTACAGCTTCTTTAATCTTCTGTTTAGGAAGTAACTGTACTCAGTAGAATGGAGAAACCATATGTCTTCCTAACAAACCACACTCCTAAGTATATCTCAGGGGATTCACCCCATAAAAAATTATAAAGTGGCTAGGAGTGTATCCGTTTGACCAGAAAAAGAAAAGAACTTGAAAGAGGAAACTTTGAGCATTCGGCCTTGGGTGCAGATGGGTGTGTACCCAAATTTGAAGTCAAGGCTCTGTCAAAAGGAAAATTTTCCAAATGCATAGTCTGTTTCCCATATTATGAGATGGCAGAGGCAGCTCGACGATTTGATGTCAGACACTAGCTCAGGCATTGGGTATATATTTTCTTTCCCATCTGAAGCTTATTCTTGAGGACAGGACTTGGGTTGGTTCTAAAATAATGTTAGAGAAAAGGAAATTAAAGGTTGGCTCCAAAAATCTGTCCTTTTCTAATTATGTTTCAGCTGCAGTCTGGTTTGGTACTGATTAAGACTGATTTAAGGTTATATTTCTAAAGAATTGTAGTAAACAAGTTTGACTGTTTATAGCACAACAATAATGTGAAGGACAATTTAGCCAGTTGAGTCGTATTCTCCCTGAAGAGCATGTGTCTCTATTTTTTCCCCTTGAAGGATTCACTGAGCGAGCCCCCAGTTGTTGGATGTTCTCAATATAGGCTCATAATTTTTCTCTGGGTTTTGTGTTGATGAACTCAAGTTACCTATTGAACTGCAGATAAGTATTTGAAGTTTTGGCATGTCTTTATTGCTAGTCCTGTATTTTATGTACTCCTGCCGAACTAATTTTCTTGGCTTTGGTAGAGAATATTGAGAAGGTTATTTTATTGTTAAAATGGAAAGTGCCTCTATAGTGTCTTGCCTTCTCTAGAGTCCACTGTTAAGACTTAAGACGTTAATCAACTAGCCCTTTGTTTTGCATTTTGTTATAATTGTTTTCCCAGGTGAGGGAAACACTGATTTAGCTGTTGTATGCATGGGAACATAATGTATTCCATTCTTTAAATCTTAAGTGAATTCTTGTCATTCCCCCTTATGCTTTTGGCTACTATATTTTGTGCCTTTATCTTATATGCATGCTATCAATTTCTAAAGCAGGATTGAGATATTAATTTTAGTAATTCATTGCTTTGCTCAGGGTTTGCAGCGTTATTGCACAGAGCACAGGATTAAGCTGTCAAAGGTCAATCCCCTTCTATCATTGACTCACTCACACAGAAGCTCATGGTCAGAGTTTTTAAACTGACTTTGCAAATAGGCTGTAACCTAACATGTTGTAGTGGGGAAATTTAATATGTCACTATTCTAGATATTGTGAAAATTGTTGCTCTAACGGTGCATTTTTTCTCAGATAGATCACATATTTCTGTCTCGAGTCTGCTCAGAAACTGCTGGAGGACTTCCAGGTGTCCATTTTTGCTCCTATTAGTACTCGATGCATGAAGCACAAGCTATATGCTGTTTCTTAGATGAAGTAATTGAATCTAAGATAATGTTTGTGACGTAGAAGATGATTAAGAGGCTCATAAGATGAATGTTGTTTATGCAGGTCTTTTGTTGACTTTGGCTGGAATAGGGGAAGAAGGAATATGTGTATGTATCATCTTCTGTTGGTAGATTTGTTCCATTGAAATGAAGCTTGTGAGTCTTATAGAATGTTACTTTTGTTATTGACATGAAGGTCAACATGTGGGGCCCTTCAAATCTCAAGCAATTGGTTGCGGCGATGAAGGCTTTCATTCCAAATGCTGCCATGGTCCACACTCATAGCTTTGGTCCCTTGCATGGCCCTGATGAGATAGCAGTGTCTGATTTGTCTAAATTTTCAGGACCCATTTTACTTATCAGTGATGAGGTTGTTAAATTATCAGCTATACTCTTGCAACCAAACGAGGATAAGGAAAGTATAAACAATGAATCAGAAACATCTATAAAACCTAGAGATCTTTCCGTAGTCTATATTTGTGAGCTACCCGAAATTCAGGGAAAGTTTGATCCTGAAAGGGCTAAGGCACTTGGACTGAGAGCTGGACCAAAGTATCGGGAACTGCAGCAAGGAAAATCAGTGAAATCAGATCATCGTGATATTATGGTAAAGCTGATAAATTCAATAAACCTGCCTGATTTTTTTTTTTGTGTAAAGTCCCTTACATATTCATTCTTCACAGGTTCATCCTACTGACGTGATGGATCCTCCTATTCCTGGACCTATTGTACTTCTTGTTGATTGTCCAACAGCTTCTCATTTACAGAATTTATTGTCAGTGGATTTTCTCAATAAGTTCTACACAGATTTCTCTGGTAATTTGTCTGAAAATACCAGGGCAGTGGCTTGTGTAATTCATTTAAGTCCATCATCTGTTGCTAGTAGTCCTGCTTATCAAAATTGGATGAAGAGATTTGGCGATGCCCAGCACATCATGGCTGGACATGAACGGTGTGTTAGTTTTATCTTTTCTTTTTAAGAATTCTTCTTAAATCTTGTGCTTCTGTCCCTCTACATTTTCTATGGCCTTTTTCCTCCAGGGTTTGCTAACTGTGATGGTCTCAGGAAGCTTGTAGTTATGAAATTTATGCTCGTCTTCGCAGGAAAAATGCTGAAATACCAGTTCTAAAATCAAGTGCTAAGATTGCAGCAAGACTTAATTACTTGTGTCCTCGGTTCTTCCCTGCTCCTGGGTTTTGGTCTCTTGACACAGACAATATTTCATTAAACTCTACTTTTTCAACAAAGGTTTGTTTTACCTTTTCCATTATGTATCCCTAAGACTTTATCTCAACATGATGGACATTTAATGCAAGAGTAACTGGCTTCTCTTTCTTACAGGACCCTCAAACCACCATTGCTGCTGAGAATCTTCTTAAGGTATGGCTACTGGTTAGGATATTGACAAGGTCAATGGGCATTCAAGCAGTGGGGTGCACCTTGATTGTCTGTTTTCCCTTGTTCCTTTTCATATGATCATCACTGGTATTATCACTTAATATTCAGCCACAAAGACAGGCAACTTCTATGCTGAGGAGCTGTGGCTTACATTCTACCTTTTAGTTTAGCAATCTTCTCATATTGGTCCAAACTTTCAAGTAACTCAATTTAATCTCACATTTGTATCCATCTTCTTAAACATGGACCGTCATGAAAAAATACCGGTTAATCAGTTATAAAAGGTTAAATTCCCAAGTGGCAGTTTTTTTTAATTAAAATTAAAAATCCATGTGGCAGGCTAAGCCTGCAAATACCCTTCTCTTCCTATTTTCTTCTTCCCTTTCATCCTCTTTATCTCTCCTCCTCTTCTCTCTCTTGCAACCAAAAAAGAGACAGAGCCCTACATCAACTTTGATTTTGTTAAACCCATAGCTACCATAAATTCACATCCATGGAAAATTGGGTCCAAGGTCCAACTTCAAAGTTCAAAGATTGAATAATGAAAGGATACTAAACCAATTTTGTTGCATGTCACTGTGAATGTGGCTGACTATTTTCGTGCCTTTGTCAATTAGGCAACAATCTTAATAACGAAACCAATGTAGGAGCCTGTCTATGCCTCTGTTTTCTCATGCAACAACTAGAGCAGCTCTTTTGCTTCTACCCACATTTGCACCCAACACCCAGACCTCCTGACAACTGACCCGTCCACCTGCACACTGCCCCTTTCTTGCGACTCCACTGGTGTCCCTCTGCCCCCTCTCTCTCACATCTCTTGTCCCCCCCCCCCCCACCACCCACTGACACACACACACAAAAAAAAAAAAAAAAAAAAAAAAAAAAAAAAAAAAAAAAACCTAAACTGCTAACAGAAGCCACACCCTGGCCTATGACTTTCGACCACCATAGTGGAATAACATGTGGGGAATGGAGAGAAGTTTCAAATTTTTATTACAGGAGAGAAATCAAAGGGGTTATGTGTTTTTCTTTTACCGATGAGAGAGAGAAAGGGGTTGGAGTTCCACATAGGTCACGTTGGATTTTCTTGGTTTGTCAACTGGCCACGTAGGATTATAACTTGCTGTATTCATTCATTTTCCATAAGGGTCCATATTAAGTATATGGATACAAAAGGTGGGATTATATTGAGTTAATTATAAGTTCGGACTAATGTATAAGTTCAGACCAATATGAGATCACTGAAATGTGGGATAATTAGCGTCAATATTATATGCGTAATGCTGCCCTTATTATATAATTCTGTAATTATAATGAGTTTTATTGTTATTTTGTGATACAGTTCAATTTGCGTCCATATGCAAACCTCGGTTTGGACAGATCATCAGTCCCTGCTTATACTGGACCTGCTCAAGTTTTGGATGACTTACGCGCCGAAATTCCTGAGATTGACAATACAGTGCAGCAAGTTAGGCAATTGTGGAATAGTCCTGTGGAAGTTAACGGAGAAATGTCATTAGAAAATAACAATTCTGTTGTGGAAGAGCCATGGTTTGATGAGCTTGGTCTGCCCAGTTGTTTGCAAGATATAACCCGAGAGGATATGGAGATTGTCCTTCTGGGCACTGGATCATCCCAGCCTTCCAAGTACCGTAACGTGAGCTCTATCTTCATCAATCTTTTCTCAAAAGGGAGTTTGCTTTTTGATTGTGGTGAAGGCACATTGGGTCAGTTGAAGAGAAGGTGTGATTACTTGTCTTCTTTTTCCCTGGTATTTAGAGAATACTTTTTTTTTTTTTTTTCTCTAATCTGACATTTACTTGTCTGACATTCTTTTCGCTCCCTCTTGAGCAGATTTGGTGTAGAAGGTGCAGATAATGCTGTGAGAAATTTGAGGTGTATATGGATTTCTCATATTCATGCTGACCATCATACAGGACTAGCAAGAATTCTTGCTCTACGTCGTGATTTATTGAAAGGAGTTCCTCATGAACCTTTGTTAGTTGTGGGCCCAGGACAGCTGATGAGATTTCTAAATGCATATCAAAAACTTGAAGAGCTAGATATGCAATTTCTTGATTGCAGGCATACAACTCAAGCCTCTTGGGATGCTTTTGCCAGTTCTCTCAACTCAGATCAAGGATCATCATCTCCTACTAATTTTGGAATTAATGTTGATTCTACACTCTTTATTAAAGGAAGCCCAATGCAAAGCTATTGGAAGAGACCTAGTAGCCCAGTTGGAAATGCTGCTTCCATGGAAAGACTTTCGCACTTGGGTAAAGTGCTGCAAGATGCGGGGCTAGAGACCTTGATAAGTTTTCCTGTTGTGCACTGCCCACAAGCTTTTGGCATTGTCCTGAAGGCTGGTGACAGAATCAACAATGTTGGTGAAGTGATACCAGGATGGAAAGTGGTGTACTCTGGGGACACAAGGCCCTGTCAGGAGCTGATAGAAGCATCTCATGGCGCTACCGTCCTAATACATGAGGTAGATCTATAACAAAATTGCAGTTCATTCTGTCATTTTGCTTTGGAATGTGTTTACTTATTCAATCAGTTGGGATTTAGTCCAGTATAGTCTAAAGCCTAGCATCATAAATCTTATAGCCCCATTGGAAAGGACAGATCTTATTGCACTCGGTGTTAACCAGTGTGATATTCTGAACTTTATTTGGAGGATATGTTTGAAAAAAGTAGCTGAAAGATGGTAAATTGAAAAGCTTCTAGCTCAGATGAAAAGTTATTTGATGTTATCGTACATGGTAGACAGATTTGGATTTCAGTAAAATTGGATTAAATTATTTCAGCTAATTAAACTTAAGTTAATTGATGCTACTTATCATTCCCACTCATTTTCAGATTATTTAAGGATTTTTTACCCCAAGGAAAAACGGATCATTTTTCATTCTGATAGGAGTACAAAGATTTAAGAAATTGACAAACTGACAAAGTATGATTTTTGCAGGCAACCTTTGAGGACGCCTTGATGGATGAGGCTGTGGCTAGAAACCATAGCACTACAAAAGAAGCCATTGAAGTGGGTGAAGCAGCTGGTGTATATCGCATAATTCTTACACACTTCAGCCAACGGTACCCAAAGATTCCTGTGTTCGAAGATGCCCACATGCATAATACGTGTATAGGCTTTGACATGATGAGCATCAACATGGCAGACTTGCCTGTTCTTCCTAGGATTCTTCCTCACCTCAGACTTCTCTTCAGAACTGAAATGGGTGTTGATGAAGCAGATGATCTTCTTCCTGAGGCAGTTAGTGCAGCTTCTTAGTCGCATTTTTTCTTCCGGCAATGTCTTGCTGACTAAAAGGGGGGGGGGGTAATTTTTACATCGCCCGTGAACTTGTAAATTGTTCCACAAATTGTACAGCCTCTTTTTGCTGTGGGATATTAGTATGTGCTGCCATTTCTGTTCTAGATATATATTCTTTTATAATTGGAATGAATGAAAATATAAAATATATGAAATCAAGTACTTAGTGCTATTTTATACGTAGTATTAGCTAATTTACTGCATCATGAATGTTTTTTATCTTCTTATAGGTCATACTTTTGTCGAAGAGAAATGAATGTTTTGAATGGAACTCACTTCTGTCAGTGTCCAAGTATAACACTACTTAACTGAAAAAAGAAAAAAAAAAAATATGTTGACTTAGATTCAGTCAAAGTGTATCGGTGTTGACCATTACCAGAATTCAGAGACCCTTGGTCATGCGGATTAAAACAACGGTTATTTCATCTTTCAAATACACCATGTATATTTGAGTTTAACAACAATATCACCAAATACCCAAATTAGTAACGGACATTAACTCTGTTAGTCTATATTTCTTTTAATTAATAAAAATTAAAGTTATTTAATTATAATTATAAAAAATAAACCCAACCACCCACAACTCCCCAGCCAGCCACCTGCCCCCCACCCTAACCACCCCTCGCCGGCGCTCCGCCCTAAACCATAGCGTCGGCGCCACCCCAAATACCCAAATGCTTGAGATTTGTCGTTAGCAGGATGTTGATCAAAGCACTTGACAGGAACATATAATCAACTCGAGTTTGAAAACATAAGTATATGATTTTGAAACGCCTAAGTTCTAGAAAGTAGATAATGTAATGACTCGAAGTGGAAGAGTACATATTATAACCATCTAGAATCATGTAGCTTCAACACACTATTTCTTATAAAACTAGCAAAGGCTACTTGTCTTGGTAGAATTCCGCAAGACCAGGAATGGATTGGAATCTTCACACAAAACTTGTAGTAGACCGATATTCTGGTGCCTTGTCTCCTGCTGCGATAATAACCAAATAACGCAATGATCATTAGTCAGGGCATTCATCTTTCAACATGTAGGACGAAGGTATACAGCTCCAGTGTTGTGTATTAGTATTGTGTGCAGAGGGGTATGAAGAGTATGAAGGGTAATGTCATGTTCATGTAGATTGAAGTATTATCCTCTATATAACTCATGACTTGTTCGGTCATTTTATAGGCAGTAATAATGTCAATAATAATCACAAGTTTATAAAGTAGGGTTTATATAAGAAGTATAATACTGTAAGAAAATTATAATTCATGGTTTGTCTACCCTTTCCTTCACAAATTTTCATTAATATTGGTAATGCTAATTGCCAATATATATTCGCGTAGAAAAATACATTATTACGAAAATTTGTATGAAACTTATCATAACTATAAAAGGCCATCATGAATTCATAACTTTCCACAGATTTTAAACCATATCAAATATTATGAACACTTGCATCCTAAGGTAGCTTACCTCGTGAAAACTGAGGGGATGCTTGGCTTCTGAACCATATAAATGTCTGCATAGAGTCTGGAACAGCTGCAGAATCTCAGTGATAGTCTTTCTCCTCTCATTCATGGAAACAAGCAACATCTTCTTCATGTTTTCAGCTTCTTGTTCAAGTACGTCCAGTCTGTTATTCAAGATTTCCACGGGTGCTACAATATTTCTATTGCTGTCGCTGCTGCCACTGCTACTACTACCTTCAGCACTCTCAGGAAAATTCGCGGTAGATTTTTCATCCATTATTAAGGACCCTGTCGTTGATTCATGTTATCGCCTCTCCTTAACTCTTGTTTAGGAGAAACAACCTTGAGTACGAGAAAGCATGTTACAAGAATCCAGGATGTAGAATAGCGGTGGTATAAGGTAGATGTTACTAGAACTGCACTGCATAGGAGTTGATCAGAGGAATATTGTCTATATGCTAATTTGAAAGCTGCAAGCTTTGCGGCTCTATTTGCTGACTGGCACCTTCACCTACTTGAGAAGGTGCAAAGTTTGGCTGTATTTCAGCAGAAGTTTTGGCTTCATTTGATATGTGAAATAACAGCAGCTTTGAAATTTTACCCTTTCAAAGTTCTAACCAGTACTTCGCCAAATTTTTCCTCGATGATTGAAAATGTAATCGTTGAGATAAGTATGAAAATCTATACAAGTATACAAACTAAATAACCAACATCAGCTATCCGATCAATTGTACTCGAGAAAAATATGAAAAATGGAAGATTGGCTAAATTGGCCAAAAACATGTACTTTTTTTTCTTTTTTTTTTTGGAATAGTAAGAACATGTACTTCATATGAGGTAAAACTTCTTTGAAGGAAAAGAAAAGGTAATATTGCAACTCTTAAAATAAACAGACGTGTGTATGTATGATCGATACATCAGACAAGATAATCTAAAGACAGAAACTGTAAATGTGCATGTACCCAGTGTATGCTATGAGGATACTGCCCTGAAGGTTGTTAGCTAATAACTAATGATGCACTTCGCACTAGAGAAAGAAATTAACAGCTTCACGATATATTTTTTTTTTTTTTTAAAAAGAAAAAAAAAATCTAAACCCAATTCAATGAAGCAACTAATCAGAAACACTGATTGGTTGCTTATCCGTTTGCTGTTGCATGATATAGTGTGTCCATATTAATATACAGTTCACAGTTGCTCCACAACACATTCTAGCAACATCTGTTTCTGATTATTAATAAGTGCCTTCTTTCAAGTGCATGCTTAATCTACTGGAATCTCTACATCCATCTTCATGCCCGAATTTGCAAAAATCTGAGTATGACCAGAAAATTCTGTCAGGTTTGGATAAAGAACTGTGCAAAGAGGTTTAAGAGGCACAATCACACAGAATTCAATAGCAAATAGGTGCTCGTGAAATCACTGAAGACGGTCCATATGATGCAAAGAAACACGAGCTCCAGAAATCTATACAAGTGTTTTTACAAATATACTCACCTAAATCAGCATGGAGTAACTCAAAAATATATTCTAAAGTTGCATCAAAAGCTGCTCACAAGTGACAACAAATACAAAAACTTCCAAGTCATCAGCACAAACATTTAATATTAATACTACATATAAACAGTAACACTCAAATTCCAATTATTCTATATTTCCTTCCAAGCAATCAATTTGTAGCTCCCACCTATTTGCATTTCACAAGCAAACACGGGCAGATACCATTACATGGAAATACATCAACTTTGCATTGCTCGGTGTTTGGAATGTTCAGCACTATCCAAGACAAACACTAGGTGTCGGAGAGGAAGTTGAACTTCCCAACTCAAGAAAACAGAGGATGCATATTTAGAATGCTTTTTGTCAAGTTTCAGAGTTCATATTCAGCAGTTATCAGTAGAACTTATCATGGACAGAAAAGGATCAAACATAATTACTTGAAAAAAAACTTCATTTGTGAACTCTTGAAAAGATTATCCAATACAAAATATCTTTGAAAAGAAGCTTCCTACTTTTAGAGGTTAAAGCTGCCCTAAAAGAATTGATGCCTACAATGTCAAGGATGATAGACAGGCAACATAGCACAAACTGAAAACAGCATGGGGCTAACTGGCTAAATCATGGTAAGAAAGAACATAACAAAGGTAGGCCTATACATTATGAGAAGACTAATTTTATAGTTTAATCAGCACAAAATTCCGTACATAGCAAGCCATCAAACAGTTTTGTATGGTTTCTCTATTTTTTCTTTTTTTTTTTTTTTGGCACTCTATTTTTGACATTATAAAACAGAAGATCATGGAGGCTGTCATGCATAACTCTAGATGTTGCCATATACCAACAATTTAAAAAATGATTATCTGATCAGCAACTCATAAAATTTCTTATCACCTTGAAGCACACTGGAGATAAGATATCAATTCACGAGTTATTATGATATGATGTGGATTGGGGATACATGAAATATAATATAGAGGCAACTTTGAGATGAGAAACAGCAATAAAGCTGAACTAACAAATCGTTGTCTCAGGTTTATATTTTTGAATGATACCTTCACAAAATCATCCAGCATCAAATAAGACTCCCTTGTGTAGCCAGCTTCCTGCAACAATTGCATCAACACCGCCTATGGCACAGAATACAGACAATTAGAGACTGAACGATGCTGCACTTTATATATTCCACTTACACACGCATAGCAAAGCCCACATACACGAATCTTATACAAAGGGATAAAATCATAAAATAGAGTCCATGAGATTATCTTTTTGACGAAGAGTCCAAGAGATTATCAGCCATATGCTATATAAGAAAATTTTACATTATAAGAGTGACCATTAATGATGCAGCAAATAGTTTTTTTTTTCATCCCAAAATATTATCACAACTGGTGTTACAAAAACCTTCGCAGTTTTTGTAAGAATAACACACTTTTCATGTTTGAGTCCTGTTACACACACACACACAAAAAAAAAAAAAAAAAAAAAAAAAAAAAAAAAAAAAAAAAAAAAAAAAAAAAACCATGTATATTCAATACTTTACGAAAATTTGAAAACTGCAATACGTAATAACAGCATATTGTGGTTTAATAAATATTTACATCTATAGAAATTTGACCGTACACTATGAACACATCAGATGGACATCAATTCTGGCACAAAAGGCCATACACACACGGCTCAATTCTGGCACAAAAGGCCATACACAAACAGCTCATTTAACATTGACAATGTCAAAGATGGCACCAAGTAATGCCTAAGTAAAAAATGAGGCTAATAATAGGCAGAAGTAATGCCGGTATGGCCATATCAATTAAATGAAGCAGAAACTGCTCTAATTTTTCTTTAGTCACATATTAGGCAAGAGATGAGGATTAACGCCCATGCCAAAGTTAAAGAACCCCCCCCCCCCCCCCCCCCCAAATTGCCTCTTTCCTAATTTCATTGTTGTGATGGATCATGAAAAAGAGCTATAATTGGTATTTGGCACCTTGAAATTTAAGAGTTGAAGGGAAAACTTTTAGGTGCAGAAAAAGGGCAAAAATTAATGCTGAAAGGATTATTGCGCCTAAATTTTGGGGCCACAAACTGGACAAAACCAAGCAAAATAAAACATTTTAGAAAGCAGGTTTTGTACAGAATGACTTCTGAAGTCATTAAATTCTCATGGATGATCCAAAAAGATGGAAAAGCAACAACAATGCTAATATAATATTTTGTCTAGATCAATGACGTCTTTCTTGTCCTTGCTTAATTAAATCAAAAGCGTTACTATTGAGCAATCTATCAACTAAATCAAATGACGTAATATAAACATGTTCTACTTTTATTTGTTGCAAAGCAACAAACAACCTATTCTTTACCCATCTCAGATAAGGTCCTTCCGCCATTACAGACATAAGGCAACATTATGAATTCTTTATTTACAAAATATTTTTCCTATATTCTGGTATACTTAGTGCTTGCTTGACATCTTATCACTATATCAAGACTTGAGAGAAGGGGAGGAAGGGGAGTTGTTACCCAGCTCAACCAATGTCATTCATCAGTGACTTTTTAAATATTTCTGTTGAACTAGAATGGTCATCGTGCAATGGAAAGTAACTGGTAAAAAATAAAACAGAAAAAAAAGTTCTGTTAAATTAAGCCAACTATCTTTAGTAGTTTTCACCATTGGAAATTTTATACAGGTCATGGCATCTGTATCAAACCACATGAACTCTCTATAAAAAGCAAAGAATGAATGTAGTTGTAAAACTGCCCATACCTCTCTTTGCTCAGCAGTCATGAATGAACCAGTCATATCATGAGCACTTCTATAATGTCATTGAAAGTCACCTTCCCATTGCCATCCAAGTCATAAACCCTGAAAATAACTGCAAAAGAGACAAGAGAATTTGTTTACTATAGCTACTCACTGAAACTTGGAGCTTACACAGGTGTCATTTAACAAATTGTTATGTTGAAAGGGGCATTAATACAAGTACCACAGAAGAGTTAATAATCATTCCTTTAAAGGATTTAAAGGAGAAGAGGGAGAGAGAATCTACAAAATAATCACACATTAAGATAAGGTGATAGTCACTAATTAACTCAATGACTGATACTAAGCTGACAATAAATATAACCAGATTCTCAAATACTTAACTACACATCTATAAACAAAAAGGATTTATCTTTCTTTTTACTACTTCTCTTTTACTTCCTCAGTACATTTTAATTGCATCATTTGGGGTCTACAACAACTTTCAAAATTTGAGGTCTACTAACGTGCCACAAATGCTTGGCCTCACAGAGGCAAAGTAAATAGAAGCTGGTTCCAGGAAGCAATAATGTTAATTGAGTCTTTGGCTCTTAGCTCTTAAAGATTTATTGTCTAAAAATTTATACAAAGGGTGCGAGATTGTCACCTCAGCCATGGGTGGAAGCCATGGTATTCACTTGGTGTCATTCTAATTATGTATAATATCTTGACGATGAAAATCACTAGTCAACTTAGAAAACCCCTATGATATGTTGGCCCCCAAAAATAAAATCCTTCTTCTCAGAAAACAATATTTCAATCCATATGCAATCCTAAAGTAAACAAAAACAGGAAGGATACAGTCATACAGCCCATCAGGTTTTTAAAATTAACTCAATAAAACAGGATAGGCTGTTCTACTAGCCATAATGTTGACCGGACCTTATTCCATTTACAAAGACTGAGATATTACTCAAGCAGCAGAAGAATCAAAATTATGAGGTAGCACTCTTGCCTAGAAGATGAAGACAGCAACTAATTGAGATAACCATTAGCAATCCCCGATATACATAAATCTATCAGATCAAAATCGAAAACTTACGGGCAGCTTTCTGCTCAATGCTTGCTTTGGCACTAAATGCAGATAAGAATGCAACAAAATCCTTAAAATTTAAACCATCAACCATCTTCAGCAACCTCTGCATAAAGACACACCACAAATTCATAACATCAATTCCGCGAAAAAATCCTAATCAACAGTTAATTCATAACAGGCAACACGAGTATGATCTCAAAATCTAGACACTCAATACCTGAGCTAGAGGGTTCATTGCGAACTCCGGCACAGACATAAATTCATCGGATGAAATAAAACCTTTGGCAGTCCGATCAAGTTGACAAAATCTTTGATACAAAGAAACTATCTCTTGCTGATTGACTATATTAAAACAATAGCATATATCATATTTCATTGAATCATGACATAATTTAGCATTCTACAAAATAAAAGAGAAAATCAAAATAAACCCCATACACAATTTATTGCAGTGTTCTTGAACTTCTTCAATATCATATTGGGTAAGCGTTGATAGATGGAGCATTACCCATTTGCTTCTTTCTCAATCTGTGATGATTAATCAAGCAAAAAAATAAAAATTAAAAACAACCCACTAATTACCATCGAAAAATTCACAAAAAAATCCTAGGAAAATCAAAAATTAAGCACGCCCACTAAATTATAACAATCAAATAGATGCATTGAAACTTGAAAAGCACCCTTCAATTGAAACCCATAAAATGAAAATCGAGATTTACCAAAACAGCAATTCCTTCAGGATTGTATTAAATGATAAATGAATATCGTTAAAATTGAGGTAAAATGAGCTTGACCACTATTTTACAGAATTGGGACTTTCTAGAGAAGAATTGTAAATATGTAATAGAAAGCTTCAGTCTTGGAGAAATTGGGAAGTGCTCTGATATTTTGTTGATTGGAAATTTTTGTGGGATGATACCAAAGTTGCTGGGAAATTCTGTGATGAAATTTATGTATAGGTAGAAATTTGTATGATAAAGTATGAGGGTGACTTACCTGGATTTCAATACAGTTGACTGAGTGTAAAGATTACAGAAACGGCTGGTACTAGTTTCCGACCACCACCCTAACCGTCTAAACACCGACGCCTCCGATTACAGTCGATTGCTGCTCCAGAGTCCAGACTCATCGATTTACTTGTACCAAGGCTATGGTTTTAACCTTTAAGGGCCCACCTTGTTTTTGTTTGATACGACTTATTCGAGAAGATCTGATATGAATTTATTTTATCTGATTTGAATTTATGGTTTGATTTGACTAAATCAATACGTAATTTATATATTACAATTTTTTTTTCAATATAGAATTAATCATATTTAGAGATTAAAAATTCGCACAAAAAGCGATTATGATATGAAATACCCCAAAATGTTTTCTTTCAAAAATTTCAAATAATTCAAATGTTTAGCATAAAAGATGAGAAAATACAAGTTTATCATTAAATAAAGAGGCAAAACTGTAAATAAATCACCTTGATAAATAAAGCGATAAATGTCATATTAACTAGACATTTTTGTTGATTTATTTACAGTTTTACCACTTGATAAACGGAATTTGTTTAACTTGGGTTCCCTCTAAAAAACCAATATACCAATTGATACACATACCAAGTTAATCTAGCTTATAAGCTTGCATCTTCTTATAATATCTTACTCACTACAAGAGAGTGGGAGACTATTCACTAAACCACTATGTAGCCATTTCAGATTCAACCCCTAAATGAGACTATTCAATTTGTAGCCATTTCAAATGCAATCCAACCAAGTTAAGCTTGACATAAGGTCGTAGGGGTAATGACCAAAGCTTCTAATTTTGAGATTAGGAGTTCAATCTTTAGTGCCATGGAATATATATACTAATACTATGGAACAAAAGTTAAGATTGATGATCAGTATTTAACCAAAATATGAGAGTGAGGGATAGCTCAAGTTGTTAAAACTTCCCTCCCGATTCCCAAAAATTTTGAGATCGATTTTCATCATCCCCCCTTGTGACTCTCTAAACACCAAAAAGTATTTAACCAAAATATCATACTTCTAAATAGAAGGCTCGTTTATAGCAACCATAAGTCGACCACTCTTTGGACAATATTACCCTTCCCTTCTCTGTCTCCTCTTCCTCTTTTTCTCGCTACCACTAATATCGCTCATTTCACCACCATCACCAACCACCACACTTATCTAGCTACCACAACCATCCGAACATTTATATAACATCGAAAAACCAAGTTAGCATCATTTGATCGTGCATCCACATAAGCTCGTCATTAGTGGTGGTGTCGTCGGTGTAAGGGTATTTTGGTAAATTCATTTAATTGTTAGTACAATGATAAATTACACCAAATTGCCAATTTGCCATTCATCTAATTTGTTTTGGTTTGTTTAATTTTATCGAGGGAGTACGTATGGTTGAATTGCATTGATTTCGCAGGAACCCAGCTGAGTGGAAAACCTCCAAAAACGTCAACCACCGTACCTTACTCCAACTCCTCCGCTTTCTTTCCCTGCAAATTTTCTCTCTCCTCGCTTTTCTATCGTCCAAAATTTCAATCAATTCCATCACAATTTCAAGATCACCTTAATCAAATCACTTTTCATTCAATTCTCCCTATTTCTACACTTGGGTCAATCTCCAATTTTTCTGGGTATCATCAATTTCTCCTCTTCACTCCTAATCTCATCACTCTTTCCTTCCCAAAAAAAAGAAATTTCAACCAATTTCAATCTTTTTTCTTTGTGGGTTCGTTGATTTTGAGAAATTTAAGTCAAATTTCGAACTGGGTATTGGAAAATTTTGGATTTTTCTTGTTAATTTGGTGTTTTTAGGGTTGATTGAGGAATTGAAAGAGGGCAAGAAGAAGATGGATACGAGCAGAAGAGCAGTGGAATCATACTGGAGGTCTCGGATGATCGATGCTGCTACCTCTGATGAAGATAAGGTCACACCAGTTTACAAATTGGAAGAGATTTGTGAGCTGCTAAGATCTTCTCCCTCTGGTATAGTGAAGGAAGTCTCTGAATTTTTGTTAAAAAGGCTTGATCACAAGAACCCTATTGTTAAACAGAAGGTATAATTTATGCATCAATTTTTGTTTGATTGGCATTTAGGTAGATCTAGTTATGTGAAATTGTTTGTTTTAAGTTCATGATTTGTGTTGAACCTTTGTTTTGTTTTGTTTTGATTCTGCTGTTTTTGTCGACGGTGCGATTTTGGTGATTATTTTGAACAAAGGGATCATGAAATAAGGTCCAATTTAGGGTTAGAATTAATGATATTAATTTCATGAATGAGATTTTGTTTGGTTGATTTGAGTGTATTCCTATTTGGTGATGGTAATTTTATCTGTTATTGATGTTATCTATAGGCTTTAAGGCTGATAAAATATTCAGTTGGGAAGTCGGGTGCAGAATTCAGGAGAGAAATGCAAAGGCATTCCGTGGCTGTGAAACAGCTACTTCATTATAAGGGGAAACCTGATCCTCTGAAAGGGGATGCTTTGAACAAAGCTGTGAGGGAAACAGCTCAAGATGCTCTTTCGGCCATATTTTCGACAGATGACAACAAACCGGCTGCTGCGAGTGAGGTAACCCATAAGAGAATGGAAGGTTTTGGGAATACGAATTATGTGATGCCACCAGAAGAGAAGAAGTCATTTATTAGTGAGGTGGTTGGTATTGGAAGTGCTTCGTTGAAGCAAGGACTGAGTACCTTGGCTCAGGCGCATTCTCAGTCATTCAAAAAGAATGATACTGGCAGTTATAGGGGTCCAACACTGAATAGATCATTGACCGTAGAATCGGACCACTCAGACAGGTATGATAAAATGAGCTATCATGGTGGTGGTCAGAGTAGTTCGTCTATTTCAAGGAATGCGACGTCTGGACCTTGGGGACAAGATTCAAGGACTGTTGCCTCAGAAGCGACCAATGTGGATTCTAATTCAAGTTATGGTGAGAGTAAGACACGGGAAGAGAGGTTTCTAGAGACAATTGTGACATCTGGTGGTGTGCGGCTGCAGCCTACACGTGATGTTTTGCAAGCTTTCTTGGTAGAGGCCTCTAAGATGGATGCATTGGCTTTAAGTCGAGCACTTGAATCGAAACTTCAGTCTCCTAATTGGCAGGTATTTTCTTTATTTTCATGTTCTCAGTCTGGATATTCTGTTTAAAATTTTTATTTTGTAGTATGTATCTTGATTTGGTTAAACATGACACACTTTGTATTTTTAAGTGATCTGTTGATCAGGGCTAGCCAAACCATCAATATGGTGACATGGCTCTACGCATCCTCCTTTCTATATATTTTTTTTGTTGGGTGTGGGGGAGGGGCAAAGGTAGGAATATGAAGCTATTTTTAGAAATTGCTGGGAGACCGTTTCCTTTTGCCCTTAGTTATAAGATGCATTAAATGGCCTGCTCGAATTTGATTGTTATGTTCTGTTATGTGATGTTTTATGCCGTCTTGGGATCATAGTACTACCTGTATTTAATTATGCTCTTGCCAAACACTGTGAACCAGACTCTTGATTCATCTAGCTGTCAAATTTTTCCTCTATTGCTCAAAGATGGATGAATTTGTGTAATACTAAAAGACAATGGACTGATTTTGAATGGTGAAGGATAGATTTATGGTTTGATCTCTAAGACGTTATTTTTAATGGGTTTTACTATCTTTTTCAGGTTCGAATGAAAGCAGTTTGTGTCGTTGAAGCAATTTTGAGAAAAAAAGATGATGAGCATTTTGCTATTATTGCCTATTACTTTACTGAACACGTAGATCTAGTAATCAAATGTTCCGAGTCCCCTCAATCTTCATTGAGAGAGAAGGCAAACAGAGTAAGTTTTTAAATTTCCAAATTATTAGCTATCATTTTTGCTTGACTCGAGATTTTTACTTTTAATGTTATTGTTGTTTGTCTTATCATTAATGGCAATTTAGAAAACCCCTAATGCAAAATTAGAGAAGATCATTTTCCTTGTTCATTAGATATGTTATGCAATCTCGTTACAACAGTTCACCCTATTGAGCGTTTCCACAAATGGATGAACTTGTCTATGTATCATTTCCCCCCTAACAATCCTTGTTACTTTTTTAGTCCATTACTCATGTGATTGTTGAAGCACAAAACATCTTTGGCTTTGCTGAAAAGGTATAGTGTACATGTTTTGATGTGCTTATCACTGGAACGAAATGCATCTAAAGTGCTGCCTGGAAGGTGAAATGTTTTGGCTTTTCATAATTTCCAACCTGCTTTTGGCTCAAAGGAATATAAAGCTTAGATTTGAGCTAACCAAGTATCTCACTAGAAATTTCTCCCTCTCACACTCTATGGCCCTTGCCTAGCACATCTCAGGGGGTAGAGTCTGTAGATAGTCTGGGCCTTTGTATGAATACTGAACCATTGGGATTCTATTTAGGGGGTGTTTGGTTCATCAAATTGGAATGATTGGTATGAAATGTCATAGTTGAGAGGTATGGATTCTAAAACCCATACTAGTCCAAAGTTGTTTGGTTTTATAGTTGGAATGGATTCTATACTTCATTAATAGAAGGAATTGTGAATCTTAGGGGAAGAGGTGGGTATGGAATTTCATAGGTATGGGGGAGAATTAGAACCCCTTGGGTATGAGATTCCATTACTAAAAAACTTAACCAAACAAAAATCTAGATGAAATGGATTCTAACTCCATTCCAAATAATCCAACCAAAAGACCCCTAAAAAGTCCACAATGGGCTAGAGGCAATAGGTATAATCGTAGTGTTCATATATGGGCTATGGGCAACAACTTTTAACCTATTCAACGATTCCCTGTTTCTTGGCTTTGCTGTTTCTCCATTCTCGTTCCTGTTAAGTTCTTGTTCTTGCTCTCTAATCTGTGCTACATAGTTTAGGTATTACTCCTGTCCCAGAATACACTTTGTACTTTCCTTTTTCTTCGGTTCTAGAATACTCTTTAATGTCCTTACACTTCCATTTTAGAAATGATCTCGCTAGTTTTTGAAAATCTCTCTTTCCACTACTAAAAAAAAAAGTCCCACACCCTCACTCATTCAATAATCAAATATACTTTTTTCGATCAAATAACAACCGATAGCCATACAACTACTTATTGTCTAAAACTTTGTCATGATTAGTGTCAAAAGTATTATGGGAAAGAGGGAGTATATAAATTTTGTGAAATAAATAGATCACAAACTTTAATCATGTTTATGACTTTATGAGTGTTAAGCATAAAGTATTTTATCAAGCTTGCAAGCTTGCCTGGACCATTAGTTTTTTTACTGGCAATAAGTGTTCTATTTTTTTTTTCCCACTTGGTTGGCCATGTGGATGCTACTGGATCTTGAATTATATCAAGGGACGATGTTATCATCTTTACATTCCAGATGGCCATATTGAGCATTGTTAAGCATGCAAGACAATATTGCATGTTACCATTGATTAATGGAACTCCTGGGATTCATTGTAAATTTGTAGTAATTCTATACTTTAGTGTAAGCAATTCTAAATTGGGGAAACATTCAGCATTTGATAAATATTAAGAAACTCAGAGGAGGAACATTAAGCAATTTATCAAGAGAGCATGTACTGAGTTGCATGTTGACAAGCTATTGCCGCTTGAGCAATAGAGAACAAATTGTTTGAGGAAAATGAGAAAGAAGCAGGGTTGAAGGTGATGGTTAAATGACAAGATTAATGTTTGAAAAATAGCCCATCATGGTGGATTCTGAGAAATTTAATAGATTAGAGAAATAGAGAGAGGAAAAAATGAGAGGATTTAATGAAGTAAGGAGCAGTTAGAGAGGGAAGAAAGTCCCATCGTTCATGACCATCTTCCCATCAATGGTGTGGAGAAATGGTAGAGATTGAAGTTGTGGGGTTAGAGTTGTATATTGAGAGAGAATTGGGATTGGGAAATGACAGCTGTTTGAAGAGAATTTGAAATTCTTGGTGATGGCCCTTCAGCCATTCTAATGACTGCATGGAATTCACCCAATTCCGAAACATATTTTGATATGGATTTCCAAACAGGTTATTTGTGCCTATCCAGATTTTCTAATAAAATGATTTTGTCCATACTGACCCTAACAGAAGTTGGCATAACTGAATAATGAAAAACCTCTTTGTGGCTTGGTGCATGTTTTGTCACTTTCTGTCGTAATTTGATGTTAGTTCAGTAAAATTTCACTGTATCTTTAGCTCACATCTATTTCCTATGCAGTACAAGTCTTGGGTCTAAAGTTAAGGGAGACACAGATGATAGTAGTCCTTTTGTTGACTTGTCTCTCTCTCTTTTCTGTTCCTCGAGAAAATATAGGGATTAGGGTCTTCTTGTACCACTTGGAGATCATACTCTTGACCTCTGCTAGACTCATTTCCTCCTTTTCTTCACCTTTATGATCCTGTCTCCACAGCTTGTACATACATACAAAAATCATATATATATATTTTTTTTTTCTCCAACATGAGTTCTCAACTTCTCATTCCCTTGGATTCTATTGCAACTATCATAAAAGACCCAGCCTTATTTCATCCTTGTTAACACCTGATTAACCGTATCATTGATACGTGACTAAAAGAAGAGAAATTAGGGAAAAAAAGCTCACAAACTTTTCACTCAAGTAATGCTCAACGTCCAGATCAGCTGAACCAAGTTCTCTCAATGGGGGTCTTTTTTTTTCCCTTTCCTGATTCGGGGGATATTGCTGTCGCTTTTACCTTGGAATTTAGCTGGAGCAAGGTAGGGGAGGGCATGAATGAAATGTGGCTCTTGTGCATATTGATCTTCGATTGTCACTGGGTTAAATGGTTCTTATTGGTCTTTAAAACTAAAATTTCCATAGTATTTTGGAATTCACAATTGGGGATTCCTTTATGTCACCTGGGAATTTGATAACAGAACATATCAACCAAACAACTAAAATGTGAAGAATCAAGAACCAATTCTGAAATCCCAACTGCCCTGCCCCCCCCCCCCCCCTCTTTTTCCATAGTATAAGCTTATGTACATCAGTACTTGTTTATCTTTAATATACTCCTTTTTATTCGGTATGTTTCAAATTAATGTTCCGAAATTTATACATTCAATATTCATACATTTGATGTCTGATTAAATTCTTGAAATTATAGGTCTTAAGTCTCATTGGTGGAGAGCAGACTGGAAACTCTTCAGAAAAGCCTACAAAAGTCGAGAGAACAGTGGTTGAGATGCCTGACCTGATAGATACGGGGTATGGTGATTTGCTTGGAGAAGAACCCAAGGAGAGCCAAAATGAGCAATTTGTTGCAAGCAAGCCATTGTCATCCTCTCTCTTAATTGATGATTTATTTGGGGATAGTACAGGCAACGATTTGAGTAAGAGTGATCTAAGAACTGACGATGATCCATTTGCTGATGTCTCTTTTCATACGGGTGAGGACAAAGACCAGGGAAGCGACCTCTTTGCTGGGATGACTGTTGGAGAAACTTCTAGTACTGTTGAAGCACCAAGGAATGGTGGTCCTGATCTTTTTGATATATTTGGGTCCTCAGAACCTCTGCAGGTGCAAGGAAGTCACACAGACAACGTTAACAACCTAATGGCGGGATTATCCATTAGTGGAAATGGCTCAGTGACAAATGAGAAAACAATCTATTCCACAGCATTTGCTGAATCAACATATCCCGGTTCAAATTTGAATCCTGCTTCCCAAGGGCTAAATGATTCACTTAGCAGTGGGTTTGATCCCCTGAAAGCTACCGCTAATGCAAATACCCTTCCTATGGGATCTATCCCATACAATATGCCTCCTGGAATGTTATATAATCAGTTCTATCCTGCAGCTCAAGTTAATTATGGTGCCATGGGTGGGTTCCTTGCTCAGCAGCAGTTTATGGCAGCTATGGCCAACTTGCAGTCTATAGGCAACATGAATCCCAATAATCTTGCTGGTGGTAATTTGGCTGGAACATTGGGAGGAGATGCTTCCGCTCTTCCTGATATATTCAACGCAAACATGCCTGCTCAAGCATCTACTGTCACAATGAATGCTCCGAAAGAAGAGACAAAAGCATTTGATTTCATCACAGTAAGAATAATTTTATTTTGTTTTTATATGTCATTAATTTTGTCCTGTTCCTTGTGCTTTGGTTTCTACCTTTTCTCTCTGTTTCTATGTATACCTCTTTTTAAGATTCAGTGTGTTTATATTACATTATTTACCTCTGAAGATCAACATAATTCATCCTTTTGGATGATGAGAGATAAGAAAGAGTAGGGTTGTTATGCCCAACATTTACTGTAAATTCTGCCATTTGGTCAACCTCCCAAAAACAGTGATGGATGAAAAAAGAGTCAAACCTTGCAAATTCATCTCTTCACCACATATAATATTGTTACACACCCTTTTAATAGGAGCTTGTGAAAATAGTGCACAAGTTCACTTGTTCCACAACTATTTTCTTTTATACCAAGAAAACTAGCCTTTTAGACCTCTCTCTAAGACCTAGAGCCTTAGCCTGGAAAATTCTAATAATGGAACAGAGGGCTTTAAAACCAGCCAAGCTAAGGTTACCCTTTTAGCCCTCCTTGTCTGATTTCTTTGAGCTGCTTTATTTAGAACAGGTTTGTAATAAGTGTTGCATGATTTGCATATCCATAGATAGCTGTTAAATTGAATGCCAGAAATTTGGGAACAAATGTGAGAAGTAAATATTGTGACTAGTGAAACATTACGAGATATTGTTGTAGCCTTTACATAGACCTTTTCATTTTCCAGTTTACCAACACAATGTCCTCTCAAGTGTTCTAGAGCATAGACATTATATTTAACATTAATTTATAAACCAGGATGCCTATAGAGTATAGAATACTAAGTGTCATTACTTGGACATCTGTCATCTACAATCCAATATTACAGGGTACGTTTTAATAAGGTTTTCTGATTAGAGTTCAAATATTTTTGTTATAGTCAATCTTTGTATTCTATTGAGTCTTTAACGTCTGACTTTTGGAAGATAAAGTGGATGACACAGAATAGCCAATACATTATTCTAGGGCTGCTCCAATTTTACTATTGCACTTCCTCCACTATTTTAGTTGCAACGTTTGGCAAATTGCACTATTCATGTTCTCTCATTTGACCACCTTTGTTGATTTATATCTTGGGCAAAATATTCTTATGAGATCTTGTTAGATTCGTCTCAATTTATAAAAGATAATAGTAAAATTTTGACCATAAATTACCGTTAATGTATAATTTTGACCACAACATCAAATTTACATATTTTTTACCCCCTCCGTCCCTTTATTTTTGCCCCATTGCCATTTTTAGGGTCTAACTTTGAAAATTTTGACCATAAATTACCGTTAATGTATAAAAGATAATATAGTCATGAGTGGTCTTGTTAGATTCGTCTCATTGTATATTTTATTAATATCACGTTTTTATAATTTTACGTGTATGCAAATAAAGATATAGAAATTTTAATACGCGTCTTGGAGACCGTGCACAGTCAAATGGGGCAAAAAAAAATTGGACAGAGGGAGTATTTATTTATAATTAGAGAAATTTATGCATTGGCAAGCGTGAACACTATCCTATGCTCAACTTGTTGCCTTATTCTGTTTTAGACTATCTCCATTGGCTTTCATAATTCAAGTCACATTTTCAAGACCATTCATTATAGGATTTTTATGTTTGTTGGTACTATATACCCTTTCTCTGTAATACTCCGTATATTAATTGATTGTGTGGGTAATTTAAAGCCCCTATGGAGATTGAAGATTTTTTACTGTTACAAGAATAGTTGTCATTACACTTCGCATTTGAAATTAAATGTTTTGTGGATTTATTTTCTTTACTTAGATTTGGTCATTTTGTGCATCAAATTGATCAATTTGTGTTGCTTCATATGACAGGATCATTTGACACAAGCGCGTGATCCTAAGAGGGTAGTGTAGTTTGCTGATTCAAAGGGAAGACTACTGGATTCATTCAGACAAAACAATGTTGGAATCCAGATAAATTTTTTTCGTGATAAACTAGCAGTGAGATGAACTTGATAATGTCAAGAATTTACTGTGACGTGTTGTAGAAGTCATAAGAGCAAGACAATCTTAAAAGCGCGGGATAGAAGGATCCCTTGTCTTTGTGCAGAATTTGTAAGTTTAGAAAGGATGAGGGTGTGTTGTGCAGTTAGCTATATTCACTGTTCGAACTTTTTTGATGCTAGCTTCAGTTTATAATACTTGTGTATTTTTTCAAAGAAAAATTCATGTAGATCTTCCAATAATTATACTGCCTTTTTTTATTTGGAGTTTGAAATACCAGTACAGGATTTCTTGCTTAATTTTGCACCGTGACGATGGACGATTGTAACTCCTTCGTAAGATTTTTTTTTTTTTTTTTTCACAAATTCTCTAAAAAGACGAGTGTATATTTATTTATTGTAAGACGAATTAAAGTTTCTTTAAATTATTTAAAGTTACCCTTTATACCACAAAAGTTATTATTTTTCAAATAATAAATTTTATCTTACAAAAAAACTTATAATGTATTAGATTAATCATATTAGCCTTTATAGTATGTAATTTTGAATTTATAAAGAATTACAAACCAACGACAAATTAAAAGTAACCCTTTAAGGGGTTAAAGTTATCATAAAAATAGATAAAGTTACTCTTAAACTGATAGTCTTACAATAAAAGTAACGTACACCCTACCTTACACAAGACTTAATGTTTTTTTTTTTTTTTTTTTTTTTTTTTTGTAAGGAAATTTCGTAAGATGTTTTATATTTGTTGATATGTTATTTTAGGCATGTTCATTAATAAATGATTTCAAAAATCGATATCTTCGATTATCAAAACACATATCACTCATCAATACCTTCATTTCAATAGACAAAAGTTTAGGAAAGTTGATATTTAGAAAATAAACCTTGAAAGTTTGAGACGAATGTACTCCCTCTATCCCATAATTTTGCGCCTATTTCTCAAAAACACGATAATTAGGGAGAATGGTGGAAGTAGGGGAATATTATATTGGAAAGATAAAAATTAGAGAATATTGTATGAAAAAAGAGGAAAATTAAGTAATAATATTTTTGGTATATATGTATTTTGTACGAGAAAGATAAAAAGTAAGTAATGATTATGTGTTATTTTTAAAAACATGCACAACATTTTGGGACACCCAAAAAGGAATATAGACACGAAATTATGGGACGGAGAGAGTAATATACAGGACTATATTTCTCTGAGTATAAATCACAAACAAGTCAAAGTAACTTATATTAATGGTATTAAAGTCAAATTGTGTTAACTAATAAGAAACAAAAACCGTGTGTATTCACTAGTTCCGCTTGTGAAGAATCAAATGCATAATTATGCTCGTAGAATCCAAGGTTTCCGGTTTCCTCATTAATGTCAGAAAGCTCCAGCAATATCAAAGGTGTATGAAGGGATTTGACAAGTACTCACATGTAGTATAAGCGAAACCATGGTCTTTTGTACACTGTACTTTACAAAATTTGGGTGGGAAACTTAGAATAACTTCGGCTGTGAAAATCTCCAGCACAACTTAGAGTGACAAGGGAAGAATACAGTTAGCTATGAGTGCAACTGGATGCACCCAAAACCTGTAATTCAGAAGGGGTCAAAAACTAAATAAAGACCGGGAGGGATCTCGAGTAAATTGTTATGTTGGATGTATCCCAACAATAGAAATAAAATCCATTATTTTGGCAAGAGGTTACATTACATGGTCTTGTTTTGGCCTTCTAAATCAAATTCTAGGAGCATCGATCTAACTAAACAATCTCAGAGGGGTTCAACAATAGCCCAGCTTATGTAATAGAGCAAAAATACACCAGTGATTGGTCATAGTAAATTTCTGAACTTCCAAGGATTGGTTTCCACATCACTTGACTGCCAACATGGATCCTCAAAATTGGCAACAATGAGTCTCAAGTACAGATCTATTTGCCGTTCTCCTTTCCTTCAGAATTTTCTGTTTCTTGTTCTTTGCGAAACCCAAGCTCAGACAATTCTTGCTTTGCCATTAGGTTCCTGCATAGCCCCAGTCACATTCCTCAGCAAATTTCAAAGGAAAAGGAAAGAGAGAGAGAGAGGAGGGGGGGGGGGGGAGAGAGAAAAAAGCAGGAAGACAAGAAACTCACTTCTCCATGCGGCATTGCAAATATTTCTTTGAAAACTCTCTACATTTTCCTGAGTTATGGCCTGCAACTTTTAGACAATTAAGATACTCTTTTTTCTCCTGCAATTACATCCCAAACATGAATTAATTAAGCCAACACAAGATAGCTCTCTATTATAAGGAGTACAATAGATAGAAAAGTAAGGCCCTCTAAGTAGAATAGGCTTGAAACAGACAATCAAAGGGAAGTACCACGTCGCATTCATGATCATGATCCAAAGGAAATACTCCTTTTTCCGGAGGAACTGGTCTTGCACCTCTTGACCCACCAAATGAACCACCTGTGTAGAACAACTAGTACTGTTTCATAAATAGAAAAACTTCTTCCTCCTTCCCCATCCAATAAGGAAGGTTGTAAGAGGATTAAAATTTCTCCTATAACATAAATTGATATTATTGCATAGGTCCATAACAATATACATCAGGATCTACCTTTGATCTGGTACACATGCTCACTAAATCTCAGATCACAATTAAAAAGAACCAGGAGGGCTATTCAAAGAGTCATTTAAGTTTTTTTGACATTCAAAAGCTAATCGGCACTCCAATCACTCTTAATAGAACCAAAGATTCGTTAGATTAATAGTTCATTTCATTGTGAGAGTAACAGACAACAGTTGCCAATTCATATCCGTCCATCTTCTATCATTACATGCAGTAAATTATTTGTAATTAGGAATGCCTTATTGGAAGATTTCTGGTCAATTTAAAAAAAAATGGTTGGCATATCAGATATGTAACAGTGCACAACAAAATATCGGATCAAGAAAACAGGAAACTAGAAATTCTGATAAACAAGCTGATTATGCAAATTCTGAAGACACTGTTTTCTTCTGAGGAGCTCTGTGGACATATGCCAGTTCAATTTTAATCATCATTGATAATTCCTTAAATTTTGGCAAGTGAATCACAGCTGAGTAGGCCGAAGAAGAGTTAATCTCATATTTGTTGTCCAGCTTCACAAACTTGGGTTCCTATATTTTCTCTTTGACAATAGGAAAAAAAAATGAAAAACAAGGTCAGAAAACCTCCTAAAAGAAAAGGGTTATTTAATTTTATTTCAATTTTTAACCATCTTATCTTTAAAATACTATAGAGTTCTTAGTCATATGCACAATGACTATACAGCTTTACAGGTACTCAACTCTTGAGAGTCCAATGTCTCTATCCCCTTATCCCCCATTTATAGGCTTGTCATAGTGTTCTATATCATCCGAACCTATCAAAACCTATTCATACTGACCCTAGCGAAACAGAACATTGCTCTGAATCTTGAATTACCTATTAAAGTGAAACTTTACAATTTCCCCATCTCTAATTAATTTCAAAATGTCAACATCAATAACTGAATTCACCCACAAAAGAAAAGAGAAAGGCATCTCCACCTGCCAGAGGGGAAAAAAAAAAAAATTGTTGAATCTTCAAGTTGAAAAATACAATGCAGTAATTATTTATTTATTTTTTTTCTGAAAGAAGCAGAAATTATTTCTAGTTTTCTGATTCCCCTTCAATTTCTTTCAGCTCCTTCTGAAATATAAATGGTGCAAGCCTTTCTAGACCAACACCTAAAAGGCAAAACTAAAAACCAGCACATACTACCAGAAATTTTTTTATCGATACCTGCATGCCTTTCAAGACCAAGGCCTAAAAGGAAAAACTAAAAACCAGCACATAGCACCACAATTATTTTTTTTTTTTTAATTTTTATCAGTACCTGCATCCCATTATCATTCATATACCCTAGTTTAGGCAAACAAATAACATGCTACTGAATAGACTATAGGGGAAATTAGAAGAAAGTGAAGTGTATATCAGGTTTTCATTTCATCTCTCTGAATTTGCAAAAACAAAAGAAGTTAATAAGCCATGCAAAATAAAGAACTTGTACCAACAAGTAACAAGGAAAGGAAAAGCAAAGTGATTTGTACCAGCGCTCATCTTATTCTCTTGTTGTTCTGCAACCGACCGAAATGTGTCCCCCTTCTAGTCTGAAAGTCCTCGCAATGAACAGTGACAAAATTACAAATGAGGGACTGATAATAATTTAAATAATAAAAACAGAGGAAATTAAATGAACAGAGAAGTGAACCACAACACAACGTAATGTTAACTCAGAATGCCTTTATACTTCAATATCCCCATGATGAAAAGCATGATTCATAGTTCAAATTAGGTTAATTTTACTTTTCTTAAACAGTTGTATAACGATTTACAATTCATGACATAAGCCATCACATTTCACATGACACAATAATATGCTAATAATCACACCTCAAAATATACACTAAGAAATCCAAATCTATTAACTAGGGTCACCGACTCTCACAGATGGCAAAAGTGTACAGAACTCAAAGTTTTCTAGTCAAAAATTTTAATTGTGAAGGGTTCACAAACTTTTTTTTTTGTCCTTATTATTTCTACACAAATTAAAGACTAAATGAATACAGAATGAAAGCTAATAAACTAACAATACAATCAAGATTAATTATCATACTTTCAAAACCAATTACCCAACTGACAATCAACATTAGCACACTTGCTAATTCAGAATGACAATTGCAATCAAACGGCCCAAAACTTTTTCAATCAACTAAAAGTTTTGGGAAAAAAAAAGACTCCTTAATCCAACATGGCAACAACAATTCAAGAAGTGTTGCTTTTTAAAGCACCTTTAACTCAAACTATGCAATAATCCCACTTACAAGAACAAGACACTTCTAATTTTTTAACAACAGTTAATATACAAGTACATATCTAAGAATCTAAGTTATAATAATAGTTTAAACCCACATTTCGGACCTAAACCTAAGGCAAAGTTTAGATTAAGGGGGCATTTGGTTCACAGAGTGGTATGAGTTTGGAATCAGGAATGGGGTCAAGGTGGTATCGGGTTGGAACTTGATACTTAATACCATGTGTTTGGTTCAATTATGGAATAAAATCTCTCACTATTCCCTCCTTTTATTTCATACCTAAGGGAATGGAATGAGCCAAACCCACCTCCGCCCCCCCCCCCCAAGGTTTCTAAACCCCATACTTCATGGGTCTAAGGTATGGGTTTAAAATTCATACTTTTGACAACCAAACATATGGTATGGGTTTTAGTCATTCTAAACCCATACCTCATATCTATATTCCGCGAACCAAGCACCCCCTAATTTCTCTATCTTCTCCAACTCATTCCCTATATTGAGTATATTCTCACTATCCAACAAACCAACACCATCACGGCACCAGCACCGGCATCGCATCAACACTGCCACCATCTCCCTATTTCTTCCAAACTCACAATCCCACATCAACCAACCTAATCTGATCATCCACCAAAACAGAAATTAATCTCCCCATTGACCCGCCACCGAGAATAACTCAATTTGATCCTACACCAACTCTAATTGTATTATTCAAATACAACTCAAACTCCAAAACCTAATTTTTCTTTCTCCACTTCCATCAATTACATCGGAAACATCAACAATAACCAGTTGTAATACAAGAAGCAAGCCACTATTTACAAATTACCAAAAAAGACAGCAACTTTGAACACATTTAACCAAAGCAAATGAATTTGAAAAATACCCATTTGAATGGTCGACTTAATTTAAGATAATAAATGGTTTAAAATGCAAAACATTTAAAGTTCTAAACACATACCAAACTTCACACATAAAAACTCTAGAAAAAGAAAAAATAGCATATCAAAACACGATTGAACCTTTATTAGTAAAATTTCAATTGATGATTAAAGAAAATAAAGTATAGAAAAAGAAATTAAGGGGGGAAAAGAAGAAAAAGTATTAAAAATTACCAAGTGGGTGCATGAATTGTAGGCAATGAGCTTGAAATATTCTGGCGATCGTCAAGAAAGAATAGATGAAGAGTTTCAATAGTTTGGGTTACTAGTTAGGTAATTTGCTTAATTAGCATCGCTACTTGTTTCCCAAGCCACGTTTGTTTTTTGATTTTTATACTTTGAACTTGCTTTGGAGGGGGAGTGCTAGGTTTTCTCTTTGCTTAATCCGAAATTCCGAATGTTTGATTACTTTTTTTTTTTTTTTTTTTTTTTTTAAGGTTGGGGTCGGGGTTGGGTTTGGGTTTACAGGTTGACCCGACCAGATTTTGACCCAAAAATAATTTTGGGTCGGGTTCGTGTCAACCCATTTAAGTTTTCGTGTCGAAAATCTCAACCCTAACCCGCTCTTTTCGGGTCGGGTTTTCAGGTCGGGTCAAATTTTTGCCACCCGTAACCGAGTAGTATAAATTTAACAAATATAAAAGTGATGCATTTAAAAAAAACACCCATAAAAGAGAAGTGATGCAAGAAAAAAAAAAAACAAAGGGAGTATTAAACAGTATACATTTTTAGATATTAGACCAAGAGTTCGTGCTTTTTAGTCTAAATTTCTAAGAATAATCTTTATAATAACTATGTATAAAGCCCAATTATAGGAAAAGTGATGGGAAAGCACTTCAAAAAAAAAAAAAAAAAAAAAAAGCATTCAAGTGAAACCTTGGGTTCCAACTTCCAACCTTCAGGGTTTATAAATACAATATGTCTATGAACAATTTATCAAGAACTTTAGATACATGGACAAAATTGGCTACATGATCAAATGTTATCTACCTCCTTAAAATCAACATTCCTCCTGATTTTCAGGAGAATCAGAACTGACTATGCTGGTGCTCCTATTAATTTACCTATACTTACACTCTATTATATCTATAGTTCTATACAAATCTTAATAAAAGTATAAAAAGAAGTATGATTCGTGTTTGGTTTATATGTTGTTCTTCACTGCAATTACGCAATTGTTCTGCACGCAAGAAGTTTAGTAGCTTCACGTTGTTGAATCTGAATGGTAAGCTTGTCTCAGAAAAACCAAAAGCACTCGTCTTTGCTTGTGCAATAATCCTGGTTAAAAGTTTGACTCTAACACTTGGGTTGTTGAACTATAATCATAGTAGATTTCTTGGCGCTTCTTCCGTTGGGGAGAGAAGTTGCCTAAACCAAAAGAACGACAAAAACAGTAAGATAGGTAAGTAAAACTCACTAGGAGAAAAGCAAAAAAATTGAATTTGTTGTATAAAGGTGAATGATTTGGAGCAAGTTGTTGCATTTTAGCAAACAGTAAAATAATACTCATCATAGTAATTACTAAGTACTTACCACTCCAATGTGCCATTTTTGATCGCAAAAATCGTTGTAGGTTGAAGCATCCATCACCTGCAAAAAACAAAAGATTTAGAGACTTGTTACTATAAAGACCAAATACTTGGTGGAAATGTGGGGACTTAATTTCAATAAGAACAAAGTGGTTTCATTGTGGATTATATAGGGGAATATAGACGATTTCGAGAAAGTAGCGTGCCCCAAAAACTTGGGAATATTCTCGGATAATCATAAGGTGGGACTTCTTTGAAGAGATGGCTGAAAACTTAGGATTATCAAATGTCAACTTTTCTAAGAATAACCAATGAAATTTGATTTAATATGAAGTATTTGATTTTTGGTACTAGGTCTTGTCAATTTCACTTTGCTGACATCAAACTATAGTTGCGAAACCAATCAAAATTTGTGAAGACCACAATTTTGCTGATATACAAACAATTTAGAAATCAGTTTGGTAGCAGAGAGCTTACAACAGTATAAATTGGAGGAACTGTTAGTCCTCCTTGAGACTTCTCTGTCGGTATAACAGAAAAGCGTGGAGCCAAATCTTGTGAGCGGAATGTCCACCTGCAGAAGGCATTGGTGAGATTTTCCTTTACAAACATTAAGTTATCCATGAAAACCAAAAATGCACCTTTTTCAGAATAAGAAAGTTGATTCATACCCTATGTATAAGAAAATGCAATATTGCGCCCATTCTCGAACCAACAGCCTGATCCAGTAAGTCTCTGGAGAATCATCCACATTTATGTATATCTGAAATGACAAAATAATTAATTTACTCATACGTACACAGACTTCAAAGTTCTAAAAATCACAGGGTCAAGAAGACATACCGCTGCTTCTGCTAAAGCTACCAGCTGCATTGCCACCCGAAATTTCCTGTAATGCAAAACATACAGCAACCAGTTAAATAAAGGAAGCAAACTACTGGCAGAATGCTTTATGATAGAAAATAATGATACACTCTTCACTAAGAAATGCAACGAAAGAAACATCACTATGGTGATGATGGGGCCTATTATGTAGGGACGAAGGAAGTTACAGAGTTATAGCCACATACTTAAACATGACATATTTTGAACGCACTGCATCATGCATAGCACGAACATCATCATCTTCTATAACACTGAGCTGCTCTCTCAGAGACATCAAGTTCTGAGATATGTGGTGGAAGATCACCGAAAATGAAATGAAGTAGTTGAGCAGCAAAAGGGCCTGAACCATCAAGTCAACAATTCATCATCAAATTGTAGTTTAAAAAAACCTATCTAGAATCATTTACAAAAACAATGCAAATCAAGATGTTATAAATAATGTACTTACAGTAAAATATGGTACAGAAGCTCTATAACCAACAAGAGTCAGGTAAAATATACACCCAAGTGCAGCTGTAGTTCGTCTCTCATATGATGACAGATGCTCGCAAAGGATGCAGTAACCATGAGCAATGAGCAGGAAGGACACAAAAGAAGCTGTCTGAAAAAGGACTCCGGTTACATACACCCCAAAGGACATCCATAGGGAACATACTTCGGAATAAAAGCAAGAATACCTGCATATACATAAATAATTCGGATGAAATGTGTGATCATCAATAATAGTACAGTACTGCAGACCTGCAGTTATGCAAAAATGATCCAGAAAACTTTGTGGCATCCATTTTGCGCGTAAAGTTCCTTGAATCTAATCAAACTTCCCACATTAGGCAGGAGCCTCATGCACTTAGTGGTGGTTTCTGTTTATCAATACTCAAAGTTCATATATTAAAAGCTCATAATTTACCACAGTAAATTATTAACAACTTGTGCATACAATTCCACAAGGAGTAGGCCAGGAAGATGCAAACTTCTTATAACTTTCATCAGTTTAATCCTTTGGGAATCATTTTAGTAGCAACAATTTCGCAACTAGAGAGTTTATACATTCATTAATTCTTATAGCAAATCACCATGGTATATGCATTAGTCCATTAAATCATCGGTACCGATAACATATTAACATTTGCTTGGTTATTATACCAAGTGAAAAGACCTAGGTGCTCATATTTTACCTTATAATCTATTTGTGTATTCAATAGATGTTTATAATCTGTATATAGAAATTTATTAATCCAGAAATATAATCAGAAAAGAAAATTACAATCAGAAACATTATCTAAGTAATATGTTGAGGAAAATTATAATCAGAAAATAAAACTAAATTAAATGAAAATCCTAAGAAACGGATTGAAACATACCAAAAGAGGAATGATAGCATAAGCTGCAATGTTTTAATTAACGGAACTGATGCCAACGTCCATTGCAGATTATTATTCTGTTATTGTCATAATCCAGAAAAAAATAAATATCAGACAAATAAAAAGAAACTAAATAACGTACAAAAAAAATTAAAATTTTAAAAATAAAATCCCTCCCACATGATTAATTAAGCTTCAACTACTCTATCCCAAAACTCAAAACAATCCATATTGCATGACTTTTTCCGTTTAAAATAAATTCAACAATAACACCAAATAAAACAAAATACAACCAGCAAAAAAATTAGAAATTTAATTAACTTCCTAAGAACCAATACTGGAATTTTTTTTCCCCATATTTAAACATCTTTATAATTTAGTCAATAAAAAAACATGAAGTGGGTCGGTCCAAAACAAACCCGCCAATTAGAGATATCAAAAACTGAACCAAACTAATCTGACTTGACATGACGACATAACTAACAACCATCCCAACATGACTCGATTAAACATGAGTTCATGACCCAACCCGAACACCCAATTTGACAGCTCTGCCGTGAACACGTAAAATCAAATGCAACAAAAAATACAAGAAAAGAACCTGAAGATGGCGGTTTCGCCAGGTGAGAAAAGCCCAGGAAAGACAAGAAACAAACCAAACGGAAGACAAAGTAAAATAAAGAGAAGGAAGAGGACGATATGATTCATTAACACCCCAAGACATATTGCTAACTTGATGCATTTGAATTTGCAATATTACAAAGTTTTCCAACTCCGTACAAATGAAAGAGAATTTGGGATTAATATAAATACAAGTGTATAATTTGTTAAGTACGACTTGTATTTGAAATGGATTAGGGAAAGAAAAAGGATTGTGTAAGGCACTATAAAAAAAGGAGGGAGTCACGTCTTGTTAATTAAAGATTGGTATGACTTGCAGACATGTTGTAGTAGTGTCCCTTAAATAGGTGCATCAACTCCACCTTCAACTAACCATATTGTACAAGGATTTGGAACATTGTTTTATGACTTTTGAGGCATTTCGTCATGAAATCGATACTCGTATTAAATTAGTGTATCTTGTTTATGTCGATGTGTATTTGTTTGTGAAATTTTTGGAAATTAGTATGTGGGATTGACTTTTGTTTTGAGACACGTTTTGAGAGATATAATTTTGGTTAGTTTTCGTTAAAAGTCCAATTCAACCCAAAGCTTAAGCGGGTGATTGAAGCTCAGAGTTGGTTTATATACGCTACGCGCTATACTATGTTAAAGAGCCAACTTAACCAAAAGTTTAAGCGGATAGTTGAAGCTCAGTGTTAGATTTCGGAAAACCTAGTACGATAAGGATACAAAATATATACAAATATTATCCTACTCTGCGACAAATATTATCATAACTATAATATCTATCACTCAGTATTGACGTTATACTCTATTAGTTTCTTTTCTTAGAATTACCGAAAGATCGAGTTTTCTTAGGGTGGAGATTAATATATACTAGTTTTGTGTCTGGGCGATGCCTAGATTGTTGATAAATTTTTTGGTTTGAATGTTAAAAACGGTCTTATAATCTCTTCTGATAATGCTAGATATTTAGACATACAATATCATATTTCTTATTTATATAATAATTGTACTTTTGTAGTTTTGTTTGAAAATAGTTTTTGATGTTATATTGACTTGAAATTATTTTTATTGAACTTTGATTATTTTTACTGAATTGAAAGTATTTAATTGCTAAACTAAAATTATTTTTGCTAATTAAAACTTATTTTTATTGATTCTCTATTATTTTTAAAAATAAATTAAATATATAATATATTAAAGAACTTTTTAAAACAGAACTTTTTAAAACAAATTTTATGATGGAATTAGAACTGAGTTATAGGATATTTATTTATTAAAAGTTATGATTAATTTTGTATATGTGAAATATTAGAAATATATCAATAATAAAACATTTTTATCCTAAAAAATCTATCCAAAATTCTCTTCCTTGGCTCGACACTTGGCATTTTCCTTGGCTCGACACTTGGCGAAAAACTGGAATGCCAAGTGTCATTGTCTCGTAGTCTGGCTGCGAGACCGACTTTAATTATTAATGACTAGTTTTGTGCCTGGGCGATGCCCAGGTTGTTTATTGAACTTTTTGATAAACCTTTTGGCTTGAATGTTAAATACGGTCATATAATTACTTTTGATATTGCAGGATATTTAGACAACGATATCATACTCAAATTATTTTTAAAAGTATTTTTACCAGTCAAACTTATTTTTACTAATTCTCTACTATTTTGAATATATTACAAATGGATCTTATTTTAAAGAACTTTTTAAAATGAATATGATGATGAAAATAGAATCAAGCTATAGGATATTTATTAAAAGTTATGATTAATTTTGTATACATGAATATTAGAATTCTTTCGATAATAAAACTCTATACAACAATTTTATCTTAAAAAATTTATCCAAAAATCGATTACTTAATAATACTATTATCTCATACATGGCGCGACACTTGGCGAAAAACTGGAATGCCAAGTGTTGCAGTCTCGTGGCCTGGCTGCGAGACCGGCTTTATTTATTAGTGACTAGTTTAGTGCCTGTTTATCCCAGATGGTATATAAGATTTAAGATAAACTTTTGGTGTGAATATTAAATACGGTCATATAATCCCTTTTGATCGATAACTTATATAGTAGTGTACTTTTTTGTAGTTTTGCTTGTAAATAGATATATATATATATATATATATATATATATATATATATATATATATATATATATATATATATATATGTTATTATTGACTTGAATTATTTATATTGAACTTAAATTATTTTTACTGAACTGAAAGTATTTTTAGCTAACTAAAATTATTTTTTACTGAACTTAAATTATGTTATTGTTAACTTGAAATTATTTTTATTGAACTTAAATTACTTTTACTGAACGGAAAGTATTTTTTTACCAATATTCACGATTAATTTTTTAAATAAATTAAATATATTATAAATGGATCTTATTTTAAAGAACTGTTTAAACGAATTTTATGATGAAAATAGAATTGAGTTATAGGATATTTATTAAAATTATGATTAATTTTGTATATATGAAATATTAGATGTATATCGATAATAAAACTCTATACAATAATTTTATCTGAAAAAAGTTATCTAAAATTCGCTTTTTTAGCATCATATGTTGCACAATAAAACCTATTGTTGCCTACGTGGCGCAACACTTGGCGAAAAACTGGAATGACAAGTGTCGTTGTCTCGTGGTGTGGCTGCGAGACCGACTTTATCTATTAGTGATATATGACGTGATATGATATAATATTAATATCTCACCAATTGTGATGACAATATATTTAAAAAAAAAAACATATAAATTGTAGTTGGTGCAAAACTTGTAAAAGTGGATGAATTTATATGAAGCATGTAATTAGTTTTCAACATACAAATATTGTACGTTATTGTAACATATTTTTTCTCCCATAAAAAGGGTCGTCTATTGTTCTTTTTTCCTTCCATTAAAAAAAAATATTGTAACGTTATTGTAAACATATCTTGTGGCATCCATATTATTTTCATTACCGACTTCATTATTCTTTTTTAACTTATAGTGTATATCCTTCACACTAAATATTTTTCATTTTATGCTCGTCCAAAAATAATAACTTGTATAGTTCTAGCCGTTGATGCTCAATTATTTTATAGCAACATGTAAAGATATTCTGATAATCTAATCCAATAGAATCCTATACACGTTGACCCATTCAATTTAATTAGATATTATCCAATAATTAACTTGCTATGCTTAGAAGCGGTAAACTCTACTTAATTAAAAAAATAATAATAAAACTACCAAACTTTTGTTAATTTAATTATGTTGTTACTAGGTTAGAACCCGTGCATGCACGATTTATATAAAATCTATTTTTATAATTTGTACATTTTTAAAAAAAATGAATAAATATAAATAAGAATTATGCATCTTGTAGAAAAATATTTGTAATTTTATAGTTTTAGATTTTCATCAAAATTATGATATAATACCTATTCAACGTCGCCTAATACATATTTTAATGTAGCAATCCATTTATTAGTGTGCTATTTACTACTGTTTTATTTTTTAAAGATAAATTGATAGGTTGTATTTGTAATGTAGAAGCTTCTAATATTCAAATTTTAAAATTGTCAAATATGATAGCTCCAAAAATAAATAAATAAATAAAAATGACTCACCTTGTATTTAGGCGGAAAAAAATTTATTATGTGAGTGACATGTGGACAGTGATGATGTCAGCAACGTTTTGTTTTAGTAATAGTTAATAAATTTTAGAAATCAAACATACAAAGATGGTGAACCATGTTTGTAGGATAGATGCACTTGAATGAAGTTGTCACGTATAACAAAATCGCTTTCTCTTTTATTTTTTTCTAACTAATTGTACATCATTTACTTGAAAAATATGAGACAAATCCACGCAAATACGAAATTCATGAAACATATGGTCGGAAATAAGCAACATTTACTAGATCATCAAAAGAGTTCCTCACTTTTAATATAAAGAAATGAATGTTATATTCAAAGCAACAAGTGTTGGGAATACTCCAATCCTTAGACTATGTATTATCCGTACTATTGTATAGTTACATGCAATATACTCCCTTGATCGAAATTAGATTTTCATTTATTTGAATTTTCAGATTGAAGTTATACATTCCGAATGAGTGAAAATAAGGTGAGAAAACAAAGCAGGATTGACACAAAGTCCTAACTAGGTAACCCCGTTATATCAAGTATAAATGTGAATGATATTCGATGCTCCTCCATGTGGAATTGATTTAAGCATGAGCCAAAATTAATTTCCTTACAAGGGTTTAATTAGGGGGAGGGATCGAGGAGGGGCGAGGGATCGTTTTGCAGTGTTGAGTCATCATTATACTTATAATGGAAATAATACATTAATCTTTTCATAACATTATAAAAATAATTACTTCCTTCGTTACATATTAGTTGCAACTTTAGGGTATTATTTGTGAGACATAAAAGATTCTAAAGTTGCAACTAATATATAATGGAGGAGGAAGTAGTATTTTGATCCATATATGTGGTTATTAGTTTAGGAAATAAACATTTTCTTTGTTTCTAAAAGCTTGACTCATTTGACTTGTTGCACTATTTTCAATGTGTATATTATTTTAATATATATAAACTTTCAATTACATTTAAGTGAATATATTTATTAAAAAATAGGGTTAAACTTTTAAGAGATTCAAGCACACATCTAACACATGCTAAAACTTTTATAAATATTATGAAATACAACCATAGTTATTCTATTTTGACTACATAAATAGTAACTGAGTCAATATTAAAAAAAAAAAAAAAAAAAAAAAAAAACAGATGTAAACGTATGTAATTAGTAAAACTTAAATATTATATCAAAGTTGATGAACTATATAACCTCAAATAATAATATTGTTTAAAGATTGATGGCGTAAGATATGCCAAGAACTAGAAAGATTGCTAACCTCTCCCCTTCTTTAAAGTAATAAAAATTACATACGTACTATGTTAGATTCATATAATTGTAATTTGGGCAGACAAGTTTCTTATTTATTTATATATTTTAGTTAACAAAAACAATAAATTGAAAATTCAGCAATACGCAATGTCACCGACTCTTGTACTAAAATGGGGGTTGACCCAATTTTAATTCGTGGCTTGAGATACAAAACTAGTACATATATTGAGAAAACAGTTATGAAAATGGACCACCAAACCAAACTAAGTTTGTGGCAAAAATAACTAAATTTGTGTTATTTGACTTATTTACATTATTATTATTATTATTATTATTATTATTATTATTATTATTATTAGGCCTTAACAAAAGAGGTATTCTTGTTTACTAACTTTTTATGCAGTTGAACATAAAATTAAATAAG